AGCGATTTTGTTCATATTTGGTATGTGAATACTATAAGCATGGCACACTGTACTATGACACTTTTGGTAGAAGGCTTAAAAGCATATTATTTCTTCTGATGACAACTTGGCTAGTGAGCAACCATTTTGAAAATGGTGGCCTTTCTGGTGTGTTGTTTTATGATATTTGCTATTCGTTTGTAAAAATGCCAGCCATTTCTGTTCGATGGGATTCGCTACGCTTTGGCGTTGCCGTTGTTCTGGTTTGACCATCAATCACATCAGCAATTTGGACAAATCTGACAAATGAAAATTTTGAAAACTCTTTCTCAGATCCTTTCATGTAATCAATTTTCATTTTCAATCATTCTGAATAAACAATTGAATATTTACTTCTTGGCAACAATATGAATATCCCATTTGCACAGTTCACATACCAACAGTCAGCTTTTGCTAAGGGGGTTCAATTTTTAAAAGATTCAAGGGAATTCACATTTGACAATGCTTGCCTAAAATCACTTGAAAATGCTACTCACATTGTTAACATTCACAGTGTGGAAAAAAAGGGATCAAGTTCGACCAGGGTTTTGGTAGAAGGCAATTTTTCTCGACTATCAAATTTATAGCTTGAAAAAGATGGACACTGGTAGCAGACCAGATAGGATGACAGTGGTAGAAAAGAATGAAAACTTTAGAAAATGATGACAATTTTAAAAAAGGATGACTCTGGTAGAAAAGGATGACACTGGTAGAAAAGAATGATACTTGGAGAAAGGGATGACACTTGGAGAAAAGGATGACACTGGTTGAAAAGGATGATACTAGTAGAAAAGGATGACGCTTGGAGAAAAGGATGACACTAGCAGAAAAGGATGATATTTTTGTAGAAAAGGATGGCAATTTTAGTAAAGGATGACACAGGTAGAAAAGGATAACCTTTGTTGAAAAGGATGACACTAGTGGAAAATGATGACACTAGGAGAAAAGGATGACATTGGTAGAACTGTATGACACTTTAAATGTATGACACTTGTAGAAAAGGATGATATTGGTAAAAAAAGGATGATACTGGTAGTAAGGATGACACTTGTAGAAAAGAATGACACTTGTAGAAAAGAAGGACACTTGTAGAAAAGGATGACACTCGTAAAAAAGATGGCACGAGTAGAAAAGGATGACACTAGTAAAAAAGGATGACGACACTTGTAAAAAAAAAGGATGTCACTAGGAGAAAAGGATGACATTGGTAGAAAAGGATGACATTGGTAGAACTGTATGACACTTGTAGAAAAGGATGACACTAGTAAAAAAGGATGACGACACTGTAAAAAAAGGATGTCACTAGGAGAAAAGGATGACATTGGTAGAAAAGGATGACATTGGTAGAACTGTAGAAAAGGATGGCAATTTTAGAAAAGGATGACACGGGTAGAAAAGGATGACACTAGTAGAAAAGGATGACACTAGGAGAAGAGGATGACATTGGTAGAACTGTATGACACTTTAAATGTATAACACTTGTAGAAAAGGATGATATTGGTAGAAAAGGATGACACTGGTAGAAAGGATGACACTTGTAGAAAAGGATGGCATTCATAGAAATATATTGCACTTGTAGAAAAGAATGAAACTTGTAGAAAAGAAGGACACTTGTAAAAATGGATGACACTCGTAAAAAAGATGACACGAGTAGAAAAGGATGACAGTGACAGAAAAGAATGACACTTGTAGAAAAGAAGGACTCTTGTAGAAAAGGATGACACTAGTAAAAAAAAGATGACACTTGTAGAAAAGGATGGCAGTGATAGAAAAGGATGACATTTATAGAAAAGGATAACACTTATAGAAAAGTATGACACTGGTAGAAAAGGATGACATTAGTAGAAAAGGACGACATTTGTAGAAAAAGGTGACATTTGTAGAAAAGGATGATACAAGTAGAAAAGAATGGCACTTGTAGAAAAGGATTGTGCTGGTAGAAAAGAGGACATTGGTAGAAAAGGATGACACTGGTATAAAAGGATGGCACTGGTTGAAATGGATGACACTTGTAGAAAGGGATGACATTAGTAGAATAATAGTAGAAGAGGATGACACTGCATGATTTCTTAATAATCTCATTTGATGTCTTAATATAGTCTTATTTATGTCTTACCTAGAAATGAGGATTATTCTCATTAGATATTAATGAAGTTTCTCTTTAGATTGTGATACTATAACCACTCATTTTTCTACAGAGAATTGAAAACATAATTTCTATTTTACCATATTGGCTTTCAGTCTATTGCTTAACGGTCAATCAGTTTTGTTAAACAAATGGGGAATGGTCCCGAAATTTGAGTTACCCCTAAGCCACCATTCCCCATTTGTTTAACATGGGATCTGCCATTTTTGTTAAATTTCAAGAAATTCATCAATTTTGGCATCAAATATTGACCCAATGTAATGGAGATATACCATTGAAATGTTGCTGACTTTATAGAGAATAGAATCAAAATACAGATTTATTTACTTTATTGGGATTTCTTTTGTTCCCCGCTTAGAAAATAGTCGTTCAAACAAATATGGGGGTTAACATGTAAACCTATGAGGAAAACCACGGGTCCTTAACTTTTTTGAGGAATATATATATATAATCCCTCTAGTCTTGTTATATTAATGCAATCTTAGAACTGAGCTTTAAATATTAGACACATACAGATGTCAGGCCCATAGCCAGCTTTTGCAAAAGGGTCACTTTTCAATCTAGAAATCCAGAGTGGTTCACTTTGACAAATTTGACCCAAAACCACATAAAAAATGCTCAGAGTGGCAACTGGCCTGTATCAAGTGGTCATAGTAAACACTTGGAACTCATGTTTATATTCCTGAACTAGATGTTTGTATGTGTAACACTATCTCTTCAAGGTGATGATATATTGGGAATTCAATATAGCAACACAGTGTCCAGTTTATCAAGGAAAGGGACCAACTCAAAAGTGGCATCCTACGAACACAGGGCTTCAAAATCCTGATTGAAACCAATTTCGTCAGGTTATGCTGCAGCAAGGTTACTCTTCAGGATTTACGTTCTATAGATGAAGCTTTCTTTCAAAGAACTTGTTATTGCCAAGTCATCTGTCTGTTCATCCTATTATCAACAGTTTTTGAATAAATGAAAAGTTACCTTGACAGAACCAATCTCATATATGTTATATACGTACTTGGAAATCATTGGTCTTTTTTTAATTTTTTTTTAAATTAGTTTGTTTGCAGGTATGATTGATTTATTTGAAATTTCTCAAGAATGCATATTTATATCAAATTGTTGAACAAATTAATTTTTTGGTTCACTGCAAAAATGTTAGTTGTCTTTTTATATTTTATTGATGGATTGATTTGAAGTTAACAGGATGGTTTGACTATTTAGAAGGATGTACTAGATTTATATCTTGGGAACATTTCAAGGTGCCTATTAATAGATTTTACTTTGAGAAGTCTTGCCTGCAACATTCTGATACTCATAGCTGTTTCACCTGAAACATCTCAGGGCTGAAAAGAAATGAGATGTCATGGTTTATCATGATGTGCCTGTAATCTTAATAAAATTTTAAGGCAATGGGTACATTTGGAATATGTATCAGTATAGAATTCCAGAATTGATATCTGCAGGCTATTTTGGGTTAACTGTTTTCAAGGATGCTTCTTGATATGAACCTGCATGGCTAGTTTTTTATCTTTATTTATTATGTTGGCCATATATATTTGGCTTTCATCCTAACAGTTACGAAATGAATGTGATTGTAAGTTTGCAATCATACCACTTAAAATTAAGCAGTTGATATCAAATATGCTGGGAATGAGCATGTAATTATTTGTTTGCAGTAAATACATTTGTAAGATAAACACATTTGTAAGATAAACACATTTGTAAGATAAATATGGCAAATAACTCAATTGAACAATGTTGAATGTCCTGATCTCATCCTTCTTCAAAGGACTTCATTTATGCTTAAATTTAATATGGAAAGAAGTGAAATACCCTTGGACCAAGGATGCCTCAGCTTGTTTCATTAAGCTTTGGACCTGTTATAGATATAATGCCTGTTCAATAGTAAGAATGTAGTGATTGAGCATGGGAATCACTGATGGAAGGTCTTGTGTAATATCAGGGGTTTCACTGGAATTTCTCACTACAGGCTAAATAAATGAAAACAACAGGCAAAATTAATGGAAATCATAGATTTAACATGAATATGTTGAAAAGTCCCTAAAAACAACAGGTGATGATTTTGTGACAACCAGTGAAAAATTGCCTGTTGCCTGCTGCTAATAAAACCCCTGAATATACTGACCTAGCCGTGGATTTTCAATTATGCAAATTTCATACCTTTGTTATCCAAGATGGCTGTATAAATCTTATTTGACTAATGGTAAATAAAGTAGCTTAACTTGCTACTTAAGTTAGAGAAGGTAGGCCAGTTATTCTGATTTATCAGAGCCCCTCTTCACCCAAAACTGTCTATATCTATTACATAGGATAGTAAAGACTGGATTCCAAACTTGGATTCCACAGTGTGAGTGTGAAGTGGTACAGTATATAGTTGTTGAGTTGTTAAAGGAAGAAGTCTAAAATCTTTGATTAACAACATGGTGATATGTTTTCTTTTTTCTCTGTTTGTAAGGGTAGATTTTGGCAGAATATAATAAACATCAAAATAGGAATTATGGATGTTTGTTTCAGCCTTGGGAGACGCTTTAATCTTTCACCATAGTGATGGTGAACAAAAAGTTCAGTGGAAAATTCCGATCTTATCTCTATTTATGTAACTAGGCAGCCTTGCCAAAAAACTTGCGTAATTGAGAGACCCACAGATTACTTAGCATGTACCAATATCTCCAAATATGGTCATGCTTTGCCCATATTTGGGATTCCTACTGGTTAACAGGTGACCTTTGATAATGAGATTAACCTTTGAGGAATGCAGGCTGTGTTGAGATGTTTAGCTCAAGTTTAGGTGCTTGCTTCAGTCTGCAAGCCGGTAGCCTGAGAGAGAGAGCAGGGGAAAGAAGATGAAATATAAAACGGAAGATGATGAATCCTTATAGCGGTCTAATAGCCATGTTTTACATGGAGTTTTAGAGACATTTTAATGCAGTTATAGTCTGGATATAAGAACAATGAAGCTAAATACCAGTTGTTAAATAGGTAATTAAAGGCATAGAGTGTAACATGTTAGGGACTTCAATGTTTGATAGGCAAAATATGTTTTGCATGAATAGCTGAAGCAAGCATTTCATTTTTTTAAAGAGACACATGCTGATTTATACATGATTTTGCCTCATACTTTAATTTTTGAAATTCAAGGTATTTTATATTAATTTGTTTGATTGCATGTATAAAGAATAGTTAACAATAATAGGTATTTCATGGTATGAACTATAGATATCAATGATCACATTTAAGAATTAAATTTAGCAAGCTTGTATTTATTACATCAATTTATAATATTATAAGGCTTGTAATAAGCAATGTACATATGTGCTTAAAGAGGCAATGTCTTAATTTTTACAACTTCTAATACATTTTTCTGTTTAATATGTGTTTGAGTTATAAGACAAAAATATATTTGTGTCTCTTTAACATGTTTAAGCACTTTTGTCGTCATTTCAGTGTTGCTTTAAATGTGAAAAATGTGCCTTGTAATGGCATGATAAGATATATAACAAAGTTGCATTTGATTGATATAATTCTGTATACCTGTAAATTTTTTAAAGATGTAATTTTACTGTATGCTATCACCTGGGTTGTTCAATAAAACAATGTTTGAGTAAAAACATACATCATTTATTTAAGTTTGTATTGTTTACTTGATGCAAAATCGTGTCACTTTAAAACTATACAAGATTTGGAGTTTGATATTGACCAAAATTTTTTAAAAAGCTTTATTATATTTAAGCTAGAGATTCTGAATAAAGGAGAGATAGGGGATATTCTCAAACCTGAAATCATAAATGTTTTGTCGGATGAAAGCAGAGAACTCAAGTTTTCTAGATAATGGACAATGTTTTCAAAATGAGAAAACTTCAATTTTGAAATCATAATATATTAAAAATGCTGCTTATAATTGTTTTTTTATTTTTAGTTATTTTATTTTTTGTTACTTATAAAGCTAAGCTATGTTGGATTTGCCTGTTTAGCACTAATGACATTATATATTAATAACATGTAAGGCATGTACACATATTGTTAAATCAAGCATGTATGAAAAAAATTGTAAACATATCTAATTATCTAAGTAACTGCCATTAAGGTATATCCTCATGTTTATAATTAATGGTACATATTCTATATTCTAGATACTTATTCTAGAATATTCTTAAAATATTCTTGATATATGAAAATGAGTAAATTCAGTGATCTTTATTTTTGTGCTTCTACAAAATAGGTCACTGAATTTTCTGAATTTTCACACATTGCAGAAAATTATTATGATGACCCCTGAACTAATGATTTAGATACATTTATGTATTCTTTGCAAAACTAAAAGATGCAGGCCCTGTTAGGAATGAACTTGGATATTTCCATAGGGCTTCAAACAGGAAACAATTAAAATTTCTAAACATGGGGAAATACCTTTAAGTGTTAAGAATCTCTACCAATCATTGATATGTGCAACACAACTGAAAAAATGAACTTTTTCATTTGTTCAATCTCACAAATACATGACGTAATATAATATTATAGAATGTAAAGGATCTGAATATTCTCGATGGCTTGTATATGGTTCTTCTTTTCATATTGTGAGAATGTTTAATGTTTACCTTATATTATAAAAACTGTCACATGTGATTTGCATCACTTGAATTTGATAGCTATAATGTTTTTGAAGTTTTTAACATTTTTATGAAAAATTGAAATTAGGTCAAGTAGAACTGAATGAGCACAAGCCATAGAGAATAAGTAAGCTTTCATATGGTACTATATCTGAGACGGATGACAAAGGTGTTTCAATAGAGAATTGTTCATGTTTGAAACTTAATTACCTGATATCAGTTTTGTTAAAGATTTTATTTTTCATATTCACATTTTTCAATTGTGATTAGTCTATTGTTGCTTAGAAAGTTAGAGAATAGACCTTTCTAATTAATTCTGATCCCATTTGTTGAACCAAGGAAATGAGGGAATATTGGCTGGATATGTGATATGACACTTTGCAGGCAGTAATGTTTGTAAACAAATGCCACTGAAACTGTAAGAATGATATCAGAATATATTGGGTCGGTTTATTTTTCATAAAAATGGAACATAACCGAACTGCGAAGCTGTTTTCCACTAATTATGTAATTATCTGTATTGTATTGTAATGCCTGGGTCACATTTGCTCCGATCCATCGGCCGGCGCCCGGCCTATTAAGTGTTTTGCTCAATATTGTATTCAATGTTGAACAAAATACTCAATTTTCCGGGCACCATTGTGAAAATCGTAGCAAATGTGACCAAGGTATGAATTAGATCAACAATTCAATATTTTATACAACCTGGGATTAAACTGTGAGGGACATTTGGGCTGCATTTTTGAACTGCCCGCAGTGCAAGCTAATTTCGAAATATTTAACGAGCTTTCCCCGCAGGTATCACAAAAAGATCAATAAGTCACCTGATGCAAATTACAGTGTCACATGTTTTCAACAAAAATAGCTCATCCAAGCATACTTACACTGCTATGTCAACCTTGTCAACAGGTCAAGCATTAAAGATTACGCAGTTTACTTGCCCAGCAGGCAGTTCAATAATGTAGCCTTGATGTCAGCAGGTGGAATTCTTAATTAGCCATATGAAAAACAACAAACTCACAAACATATCTAAACAGTTTGTGATTATACAAAAATTAGCCACAAGTTTGTCACCAAATATTTTCTTGAGGTGTCACTCAATCTCATCTCTTAGTGGTTGCTTTTATCCAATCAGTTTAATCCCAGGTTTATAGATTGCACTTTGGAATGTGAGTGTTTATTTATCTGATTGTAGACACGATGAGCAGACACAATGAGCTCGAGCACCAGTACCACATACCAAACTTAAATCATACAGGTACGTCAATATAGATAGATTTAGATAGATATTCTAAGGATTTATAAACAATACTCATGATTGAAGGATACATATTCAGATGGAAAAAGGTGTATAGAGGTATTAGAGAAATTATTTGAATTTGGGAATTATTTGAATGAGTTTTCAAAAATGGACAGAGATGGTACAAAATTACCTGGATGTTGAATAAGGGAAAAAAGAAGCCCTTAAAATATTTAAGGGAGTGATAGGAATGTTAAAAGTGAACAAATGCTGCATCCCTGGCACAGTGGTAATATACAGTACTCCTGGGTCAAGTAGTATGCAATCCAAGATTTCATACTCTACACATGAAAATTATTTTTCAAACGTGTGAAGAAAGAACCAGGAAGGGCTATGAGACGAGCCTTTATGTACCCTATCAGAATTGCAGGGTATATGGCCTTTCAATAATCTAGGCCTTTAGATATACTAAGTATATAACAACAAAGTATATGGCTTTATATATGCCAAGTTCGTAACTAAAGAGATATGGCCTTTATATACGCTAAGTTTGTAACTGCAGAGTATATGGCTTTATACATATTATATATGCAAAGTTCGTAACTAAAGAGTATATGGCTTTATATACCATAAATACCTGAGTACAGAGTATATGGCCTTTATATACACTAAGTTCGTAACTGCAGAGTATATGGCTTTATACATGTATATGCAAAGTTTGTAACTAAAGAGTATATGGCTTTATATACCATAACTACATGAGTACAGAGCATATGGCCTTTATATACACTAAGTTCGTAACTGCAAAGTATATGGCTTTATAAATGCAAAGTCTAACTAAGGAGTATATGGCTTTATATACCATAAGCACATAACTACAGAGTAAATGGTCTTTATATACACTAAGTTCGTAACTGCAGAGTATATGGCTTATGCAAAGTTAGTAACTAAAGAGTATATGACTTTATATATCATAAGTACATAAGTACAGAGTATATGGCCTTTATATACACTAAGTTCATAACTGCAGAATATATGGCTTTTTATCCCATACTTGGACGTGTTACAGGTACATAAAGCCGGTTTGTAAAAACTTATATTTTCATCAGCGGGCAGATATAGCTTTATGTCCCGTTCTGAGCGGGCAGATATAGTATATCTGCCCGCTACGTCATAATCGCCGCTCGCATATTTGTTCATAATTTGTAACGTTCGCGTAATGACTGTAAACGACAATGGAGAAAACACAGACAATCGGGATCTGTTTGATGGTTTAAGAAAGGGAAGACGCATCCACTTAATCAATCAAAAAATTCGAGAAAATAAATGTGGGAATATTTGAGAGAACAGGAACGGCCAAGAAAACTGGACATGAATATTCTAAAATATTTCCATGATTGAACAACGTGAACCAGATGACCAAGATTGGTATGGGATAAACATATTATCCTATAGTCGGTTCAGGATATTGGGATTATCCCTTGGCCAATATAATATATTTTCCCTCAGGACCTGCGGCCCTCGGGCAAATATATTATATTAGCCTCGGGATAATCCCAATATCCTGAACCTCATATAGGATAATCTCTATATATACGCTGTGTTCGTAACTAAAGAGTATATGGCTTTATATACCATAAGTACGTGAGTACAGAGTATATGGCCTTTATATACGCTAAATTTGTGACTGCAGAGTATATGGCTTTATATACGCTAAGTTCGTAACTAAAGAGTACATAGCTTTATATACAGTATGCACATAAGTACATAGTAAATGGCCTTTATATACCCAAAATATATAACTGCTGAGTATATGGCCTTTATCTACATTAAGTTTGTAACTGCAGAGTATATGGCTTTATATGTGCAAAGTTCGTAACTAAAGAGTACATGGCTTTACATACCATAAGTACATAGTACGAGTATATGGCCTTTATATACCCAAAATATATAACTGCTGAGTATATGGCCTTTATCTACATTAAGTTTGTAACTGCAGAGTATATGGCTTTATATGTGCAAAGTTCGTAACTAAAGAGTATATGGCTTTACATACCATAAGTACATAGTATATGGCCTTTATATACCCAAAATAATATAACTGCTGAGTATATGGCCTTTATATACATTAAGTTTGTAACTGCAGAGTATATGGCTTTATATGTGCTAAGTTCATAACTAAAGAGTATACAGCTTTATATGTCTACAGCAAAAAGTCCTTAATGTTACATATCATTTCATACCTCATTTGAAAGATAATTTAATTCTGGAATTACTCATCAAATTTCATTTAATAAAACTTTATATTAAAAAAGCTACATTTTTCAAAGTTTGCTACTTCGGTACTTTGTTTGCTGCTCTGTTACTGGTTAAAGGTCAAATCTTAAGAAAGTGGAATATGAAAGAATTAGCCCTGATTTCAACTACACTGAACATATTGGCTCAGTTCTGAAAAACAGGGTATAGGAGTTGATGGAAAAAGAGCCTCTTGAAAAAAGATACAGTAAGGATGTAATTCTGAAGAATGTGAGGAAAGTGCTAAGAGGATTATCCAATGCTACACCTTTATCTGAATTTTTATTGAAATCATATCCATCCAGATAAGCTGCTGTTCGAGCAGCAACTGGTGGTCATACCAACTACTAAGAATCAGCTGTAAATCAGTAAAATTATATGATATAACGCTGATATTTCTCAGGTAACTCCAGAATTAATTTGTCTTTAAAATGAGATATGACACACCATGTAACATTAAGTACCTTTTGCTGTAGAGGGGGGTGCCGTTGTTTTTGACGCCCTGTACAGTATGCACATAAGTACATAGTATATGGCCTTTATATACCCAAAATATATAACTGCTGGCATTTATATACACTAAGTTCATAACTGCAGAGTATATGGCTTTATATATGCATAGTTCGTAACTAAGAGAGTATATGGCTTTATATACCATAAGTACATATGTACAGAGTATATGATCTCTATATACACTAAGTTCATAACTGCAGAATATATGGCTTTACATATGCAAAGTTCGTAACTAAAAAGTATATGGCTTTATGTACCATAAGTACATAATTACAGAGTATATGGCTTTATGTTTGCTAAGTTTGTAACTGCAGAGTTCATGGCTTTATATACGCTGAGTTCGTAACTAAAGAGCACGGCTTTATATACTGTAAGTACATAAGTACAGAGTATATGGCATTTATACATGCTAAGTTCGTAACTGCTGAGGATATGGCCTTTATATACACTAACGTTTGTAACGGCTGAGTATATAGCCTTTATATATGCTTAGTGCGTAACTGCAGAGTATATAGCTTCTTACTTGGACATGTTTCAGGTACATGAAGCAAATTTGTAACAACTTATATCATAACAACTTTATGTCATATAAGCTAAGTTCGTAACTACAGAGTATGGCTTTTATACAATGAGTATGTATGGAGAAAATTAAGAGTGAAAATCAGCAGTTTCTTTGGAAAATCAAATCAAATTCTAGATTGCTAAAAAAGATTCAGAGGAAAATGAGAAGAGAAGAAATTTTGAAAATAAAAAATGTTGGATGAAAATCCATTGCTTTAGAAATTCTTTTGAAAAATCAGCTTCTCTTATCTCTTCAATTTATGCAAAATCAAGCTCTCATCTGATTGTTATCCCATTAATCGAAGTTTGAGGAGGATATAGGAAAGCTATCTGTCTGTTCGTCCATTTGTTGTCTGTCCAGGCAATTACTCAAATACGGGTTGACGGATTTGATTCAAATTTTATAGGCCTTTGCCTTATGTGTGTAGGACCTCTGCTGGAGAAGGAATTTTCAGTATTTTTTGTAAAATATCTTATCTTTCATAACTCAAATACCAGTTGATGGATTTGGTTCAAATTTTATATGCTGATACCTAGGGACACAGGAGCTCTGGTCAAGAAGGATTTTTTAAGACAACAGCTTTTAAATTTCAAAATGGCTTGTTTTCTTCATAGAATGAAATCTTTGATAACTCAAATACCAGCAGATGTATTTGGTTCAATTATATATGCTAATGTCTTATTTTTGTTTAAAAAATATAATCTTTAATAGCTCAAATACCATTGGACAGAGTTGGTTCAAATTTTATATGCCGATTTCTAGGGACAAATGAGCTCTGCTCGAGAAGAAATTTAAAATGGTTGGCATTTTTTGTAAGTTTATCTTTGATAACTGAAATGCCAGTGTTTCGAATGACTGAATATTCTTAAAACCAATTAAATACATGGTGTTCTGATAAAATATTTCCATTTTCATCAAAAAAATCTTTTACATGTATGAAGCCTACTTTTACCCAGTTTTTAAAAAGAAAAACCTTATCTTTCCATTTAAAGTTAAATGAAGCCAAAATACTTTTCAGCTCAGTTCAAGATGAAATTTTCAAGATAGTTGCTATTTATCAAAACATTTTTTGTTTGGTGGGATTTGCTACTCCTTGGAGTTGCTGTTTTCTTGTTAGCCTTGGATAGAGGATGAAAATCTTGAAGAGCTGTCTGGCATGCCTGCAAAAACTTTTTCATCAAAATTTACAAATGTTTCATCATTTCATAAGTTTGTGGCAAAACTCCTCCAGCCACGAAACCATCTTTTGAAGTTAGGCATTGCTGCATCTTCTATAACTCCAATACCTGATTACATATATCAAATATTGTCATGTATAAAATTCTAATTATACAGTACAAACTGTAACTATTGAAAAGATCCCTCTTGACATTTCACACACTTTGCCCTTTTGTTGCTAGTAAAGGAAATGAACCATATAAATATTTGCATGTAAGATAAAATGTTGCATGAAAATCTAAGGAGCCTTAGGAGCTAAATGTGATCAAAGTTATAGCTTGTTTTGTCATGAGAATGCAGTCTATGGTGTTTAAACTGCTTCTTTATTCGGTACATTAAATATTCCATACATACCAAATAAAACAAACAATTTACCAAACCTTCACCCAATGTATCGAATGTTTTTTTATTTTATCGAATATAATAATCGATACAATTTATATTCGCTGAACAGTTTCACTTGTTCTTTGTGTTGGCATTTACTTTTGATATCTATACATGCATTTGTGTGATGCAGCGATTCAATTTGTTTTCCTTAGCGCACGTATAATTCAAATGATTATTTATACATTCGGTATTTAACTTATTTATATTCGGTAAATACCGAATGCCACATTCGATAAATTTCGTTATTTTTCGAGACTTTACGAGACTTTCAGTCACGTGATATATGAAAACGATGTTGATGTAGCTGCGCGGCCATTTTACAAAACTCGAGGTCATGTGACAAAATATCGAACAACAACGAAACTTATCGAATATTGGTTTAATTTTAATTATTGCATTCGGTAAATAGCAAATTAGCTTTCGGTAAAAAGCATTAACTTTGTTATTGAAAAATAAATCATTTGGTAAATATAGACAAACTTATTTCGGTAAGGGTTCAAATAGAAATTCGGTATTACGCATATATGTATTACTCTTAAGGAATACCATAACAGTTTACGCAAAACATATATCATTTAGTGAATAAAATATGTAATGTAATGCACATAGTATTTAGGGATTTAATCCATTGGCTATTTTGAAAACTTAATTCGCTGTAACAAATATATAAATGTTTTTACCGAACGGAAAATTGATTTAGCGAATATAAATATTCCATATATCGAATATATTTGAATTTAACGAATAAAGAAGCAAAAATAATGCCATAGCAGTCACCTCAATAAATATGTATTGCTGATTGGTGGAAAGACTAAATCTCAACCAAACTTGTGATATTTGGGCAAGGGCAGAATTTGTTTTTACCTGTTAACAAGCTCTAGATTATTGTGTAAACATGCCAGTTGCAATGACGGAAATAGATACATAAACAAAATCATGTTTTGTCTAGAGATAAGAGATTATGTTTGATTGCAATTATGATATCCAGGAAGTTCTTAACTTTAATAATCAATTAATAATTATTGAAACATGACCGTGCTCTATTTGAATTTAGAATTCAAAGTTCCTTTGTTAGGAAAATGAAGACTTCAGCAAGATTTCAAGCTAAAGACAAAACCTCTTTTCCAGCAGCATAGCCAATAATGAACGTTCATTATTTCTCCATACAGGCACGATCATACTCTATTCGAGCTGCTTCCAGTGTTGTATTGTGACGTCACAACTTGGAGTGGCGAAGCAGCAGCAAATTCGGTTATTTCTTTCATTGACCTAAAGCACCAATTCTCTGAACAATCTTTTCATTTTCTATGTTTGAATCGGAATAAATAATGATAGGCCATTCAATACAGTGATATTCTACACTCGTTAGACAGAATGTTAGTACAAATGCACTTAGCTTCGGTTCGTGCTAATTTGTATGACACTCTGTCCAACTAGTTCTGAATTTCACCATATTGAATGGCCTATCATTGTATATTCCTTAAATATGGGCATCTCCTGACCAATTTAGTGTCAGTAAACAAGTCATGTATTTTCTTTAACTTGTATGACTGAATAGGATGATTCTTGTTATTACATAACTATAGTAAAATCACAAATGTTTGGGAGTACTTTGAATTTAAAAAATCAGCAATCAAATGACCAAATTGAAACAGTTTATGTAAAAATAGAAACATTTATATTTATCCTAACTTTTGTATATTTCAGATAGTAATATACAGGGTGGGCCAAAAAACGCCACTTTTTTTAAAAATGCTATAACTTTTTTAATTTTTGATACAAAATCATAATTTACATACCAAATGAAACTTGGGGTTGTTATCTAGCCATTGATCATGAATTATACACTTTTACTTGAATAAAATATGTCACCAGCGTCTCACTTAAACATGTGGTGTGCCATGAGAAATAAGCATAATTTGCATAATGTTCCTAAACTGATACGCCCTGATGACCGTCAAGCTAATAGCCCTAATTCAAACCCAAGTGAGTTTAGGGTATGGGGAGGTCTCCAGGAGATGGTATGAAGGTACCCAATCTAAAAAATTGCTTAACTAAAGCTGGCAATTAGGACACGTTGAAAAAAATCTAGCTAACATTTCATTGATACTGCTACATCAGCAAGGTGACTAAAACTAAAATCTATCATCAAATGGCGTGGCGGACCAATGGAACTCCTCTTCTAGATCAAATATAATCCCAGTTGAAGGACTCGTTACATTATATTATTACTAAGAACCCTTGGCACTATATAACTGCAAAATTTGGGGTATGTAGGTTGGAAAATAAAAAAGTTATAGTGTCTTGAAAAAAAGTGGTGTTTTTTTTGGCCCACCTTGTATAATGTGCCGCAAAGCTATGGCCTTTTGTAATTTGGGGAGTTTCAGCCATGTTAATTTTTCCAAAATAACATGGCAGAGAAGTATCAAAATATAAGAGGACACAGATATGATAGCTAAACTACAAAACAAACTGAAATATACAAAAGTTAGGACAAATATAAATGTTTCTATTTTTACATAAACTGTTTCAATTTGGTCATTTGATTGCTTATTTTTTAAATTCAAAGTACTCCCAAACATTTATGATTTTACTTTAGGTTTACAAACCTGACTATTGAAAATTAAAGATTTTGCATAAAGCCATTATGTCTGAATTTTTGGAAGATCAAGATAATTTAGAAAATAAACACATCTGATTCATTTAATGTTGAAAACACATTGAAAATCAACTTTGGTAGACCTAATTTTCAGATCAGATCAATGAGACAAATTCTAAAATGCTTATGTCACGTACAACAATATAAGCACATTTGCATTCGCAGCCATAGCAAATTGCTGGAAAATGAATACAATAGAATTCAAAGTTCCTTTGTTAGAAAAATCAAGACTTCAGCAAGATTTCAAAGCTTCCAAAGACAAAACCTCTTTTCCAATAAAAGAATAAAGAATGTTCAAAAAATGGACCACATGGTAAAATTCTATGTCAGCATTTTAATGTTAATTTGAAGATGAATCATGTCAAACAGCCCAAATGGATTGATTGATGGGTGACTAGAATTAGATGATCTGTACAATAAGACGAGAGACAAAATGCAATATCAAATACTCTGAACATTCCTCTGAGTAAATTTTAATATCTCAGGGTATGATGAGGATAGATTTCATGATCAATGATAACACTATCACTTATTAGTATTCAGTGCTAGTATTTGAAAGTGTGTTTCCCTCAGGCCATTGCATCTCATATACAGGGTGACACAAAAATGCAACCTTTTTATTTTGGAATATCCCTGTAGTTATAATGATATCTTCATGAATTTTCTAAGTGTGTTGTCTCTTTGGTGCCATCCTGATATTCACATCTCCTTTCTTTCATCAGATGCTCTTTGTAAGATATATGATGTGATGAGTAAAATGTGGGGTTGATTCAGTATAGTTCATTTCATTGCACTGCAGTTTCCTGGTTTTTAAGATCCAGTTCAGACAAGAAAATGTGTGGAGTTTTATGTATTCCCTTATCCATATACTTTGGGGGTATGAAATAGTTCCAGAGTCCAAAAATATACAGGGAGAATCCATCCTAGATTCCATGTAACAAATTGAAATATGTGTTTTGCCCAATCCTTAGTATACTGGATGGATATGGCTTGCCTTAGAAGGATGTCTTGGAGAGTTTTGTATAAGAATATATTCTTCAACATAGTATTGTCTGAACACCCAAGAGCCAAGCTATATACAGTATGAATAACTTAACACAAATGAAGATCTTCAGGACTATGTTGCTTTTATAGCCTTTTGTGGGAGTTTAAATATTTAGATTTTGAAAATATCAATTTTTATGAAGGCAGAAAATTCAGTGACTACATTTCTGATTATTTAGCTTTTTTCATCATGATAAATTGTAATATCTCATTTCTTCTCAGCCATGAATTGTTTCTGGTGAAACAGAAAGATGTTATGAGCATCAGAAATTCAGAATGGCTATTTTTAGGGATAGACATAATCGGGCTAGGATAGATCAAAAAACTATGTCTTGTTCAGTCTCACTGAGATGTGAAGTAGTCCAGGCCTTCTAATACTTGAGAGGTTTTGTTTATATCTGTAAACATTATAAGAACAGCTGGACTGTATATGTTAAACTGAGCTGAGAAACAAAACTCCTGTAGAACTTGTTGAGTAGTATCGTTTGCCTCATAATGAGAAATCATAGCAAATAAGTAATTAGCTGAAGTACACAATCAGGACACATCATTTGAAAGGTCAGAATTATACAACAGAAACAATTTTTCGGTTCTATGAAGGGCATTTTTACAGTCCTTTATACTTGTATTATATAACTAGATAAGAAAACTGTTAGGATTTAGGATGTTACTTATCTGCTTTAATAATATTAAAGCTCACAAATCAGAGCTCTCTTCAAGTTTGTATGCAGCACTATAAACTTAATTGGTAGTTACATTTGTGTAGGGGTTAAAATTCCATGTCTTATAAATGGCCACAATAGGAAAATGAAAAAATATTACTTGTTCGAGGGAGGGAGTTTATAATGCACATTGTGTGTGCTGCCATCTTTCTGTAGTGAGAAAGTTATAACTGAAGTTATCCAATGTTCAACAGTAGATACTTCTACTAGTATGCAACACTACAAAACTTAAAATGCACATTGTGTGTGCTGCCATCTTTCTGTACTGAGAAAGTTATAACTGAAGTTATCCAATGTTCAACAGTATTTTGTACTTCTACTAGTATACAACACTACCATATTCATGTAAATGTACATGGGTTGCACCTCTCCACCTCAAACATGGACTTGTTTATATCATCACATTATATTATAGTAAGAATATTAACCTATTTCTATTGTACTTCAGGGTTTGTGCTCAGGGATGTCAGGGCAGGGAGCCAAGAAGAGGCAGAGATGAAGAAGATCATAGCCAACAGCAGACTCTTTCCTGACTCAACTGCATCCTTAGACAAGTATGAGCTCAAGAGAGTTCAGACTGTGCATAATACCCATCTGGCTGAAAGGTTTGCTGAGAAAAAAGCTGAAATGAAAGACCAGGTACTGATTTTAACATATATACCAGGTCGTTCAATAAATTCACGGAAAAACGCTCTCATTTCAAGGATTTTTGATATTTTCTCATGAAATTTTCACACAATGTATAAAAAATACTTTCTGATTGATTCTGAAAATATCAGCATCTCTTATTTTATTGGTCAAAAATAAGGGTTACTATGGTAACTTGACCTTTGGGTAGGCGGGGCACTTTTTACGTCACATTATTCATTAGAAAAACAACAGAATAGTAGGCAATTTATGAGTATATCACATGAATTTCTTCTCCGCTTTCTACTTGTACATGATATTACTTAATGTAATAATAGTAACAACTATTGTCCCATAAGGTTTTAGAAATATTCTCCCGCATGTTTAATGCACAGTAGGTTCCATTCAAGCCATTGACGAGACAATGCTCTGAAGTCATCTCGAAAACTTGTTTGAAGGGCAATCTGGACTGCAGTCGAAAGTAGCTTCATTGTTTCATGAAGTCAACCTCTTAGCTGATCCTTCATCCTAGTAAAAACAGCAAAATCAAAGTTGTCTCATCTGGAGAGTATGTAACTTGGGGCAGCTTTGCCATCTATTTTGCCAGTTATTTGTGATGGTTTCCTGCACAATATTAGCAGTGTGATCGGCTGCATTATTCTGATGGAAAAATTTAGAGTTCGGCTGAATGGAAGTTTTAATCGACTTACCATACCATTACTTTGTTGACTTTCTGGTCCACTGGTACAGCATTAACTAACACAATTTCAGAAATGTTCGTGAAAACAATGAACATCAATTTTCCCTCAAAAATTTGTAATTTGAATAAGAACAAATAAAAAATAAGGATCCTTCCTTTGCACATATTGATAGATTTCTGTGATGGTAAATTGTGTGACGTAAAACGTGCCCCGCCTACCCAAAAGTCAAGTTACCATAGTAACCCTTATTTTTGACCAATCTAATTAGAGATGCTGAGATTTTAAGAATCAATCAGAAAGTATTTTTTAAACATTGTGTGAAAATTTTATGGGAAAATATCAAGAATCTTTGAAATGAGAGCATTTTTCCGTGAACTTATTGAACGACCTGGTACAAGTGCAAAGGCTGATCCAGAAGTTCTGATAAAAACGCTGTTTCTTGTATGAATGACCCAGTTACTCTGTAAATATTATGGAAAACAAATGATAAACTTATAAGTTAGAGCATATTTATCAGGACTTCTGGATTGGCCCTTGTACATTCCACCATTCTTCAAGCTTTCTAAAATTAGTTATAGCTAAGCAAAGGTGACTTTGCAGGCAACATGTACACTTTAACTATCAATCTATTCCTTGAAATTTCTGATCTGATTCTCGTTAATCTGAAGGTTGTAATATACCATTTGAAAGGTGAAAGTGTCAACTTAAAGGATCTTGCATGTATTTGGAAGATCACCAGTTCACAAAGTTGACTAACTGACAATTTCATCCCAGGGAATTAATCAAACTAAATCTGTGTAAAATTATACTTTTGATTTTGCTTACATTTCAAGAAGTAAAATCTTCATTTTTGTTTCCACATTAAAATATTTTGGACTGTTCATTGATAGATAAGTTATTGTCTATCTTAACTTTCACCGAGTCATAGCAGTCCGTATCGGAAAAAAGTACACTCAGCTTACCCCTGATCCAACTCAATTCACTATTTTCTAAACTACCTTGGGAATAGAATACGAAAAGAAAAGTTACATCCCTTAATAGCTATTTTATTGACAGAACATCCAAGCATATATGACAGTTAGTTTGTTCACGATGTAAGTACAATAAGCCTGCATGTAAATATCTACCACTGTATTAATTATCAATATTATAAGTTATTGAATGATTTGAAGTGCAATACAGGATATATTCTGCTCGAGAAATTCTGTATTGGAACGAGATGAAGTCTAGTGCCAATACAGAATATTGAGAATATATCGAGAATATGTGATTAAAGAATTTTTTTCTGTTGTAGGGTTGTTCACCCAAGGAGTTAGAAGAACACTTCTTGTTCTCTCTTGCAAACAGCTCTGGGAAGGCCTTCTCCATTAGCAAGATGGGACTCCGTTGTCATGTAAGGGGAAAGTTAGGCAGCCAGATTGGTAATGACTTAAAAGGAGTATACATCCAGAAGTATTCAGATGTGCTCTTTGAACATGCTGACTGGGACACCTTCTATGGTCCTGATATCTGGGTCATGGTTTACAAGGTAGGTGAGCAGTGTTGGATGTTAAAAATTGGGCATCTTTATTTGTGTCATTTGAGTCCAATGAAAATCTGCACTGTAGAATTCATACATTTGCCAAAAGCGTGTAGGCTATATCAATTCAGAGTTGTTTTTTTATTTTTTTATTTTATTTCTCCTATAGAAGGCTTATAGAATTTTTTGTACATGAAATAAATAAATAATTCTATTGTTAAAAAATTGCTGAATATATCCATGAGAATTCAAATCTGTGTTTTGTACACTTTTTCTGTGTGGAAGGTGAAGTCTATGTGTAATATGATTCTTTTTCATAACATTTTGTTCATCTGCAGGTTATATATGGTAGGGTGAAGTATGTGCCAGAAAGGAGAAGTGACTTGATGATGAAGAAGGTCATACCTTTCACACCTGCTCTAGACCCAACCCCTAACCATGATTGCCACATGGTACTGCCCTCAGCCACCTCTCCCAGACCTTGGCAGCACAAGTCAAATGATGTCAGTGGAATGGTAAGTAGCATATATGATTATGATAAACCTTTAATGTTTGATGAACACTGCTTGTTCTATTAATTTCTTTATTTTTCTATTTATCAATTCTATGTTATGGAATTGCTTAACAAACAGAAAGCTGTGAAACAGAAAAGACTTTGAACAGTCATTTTATTCAAAACTTTACAAGCATAATTGTCATTCTATTGAATGTGTGTGGTTAATCGTTGTAGAGTTTGGATGTTACGTTAATCATCAAACATTTACCATTAATTTTGTTGATAAACGTACCATGCCTTTTACTTGCAGGTATATCTCTATGAGTACGATGATGACTGCCAACACGTTGTAATTCCACGCCAGGTTCTGCCTAGTTACATCCTGATGTACACTAAAACTAACAACAATGACAATAATAACTCATCAGCATTTGATAAACCACCTGTATTATACGAGTCGCCAAAGAAGCCACGTGGTCCCCATACACCACCAAATACTCCCCCTAATTCATCCCAGGCTGCACAGATCATGAGAAAGCGTAATAGTGATGCTGAAAACATTAACTCCAATTCAAAACGTCAAAAATTATCCATGTCCCTTTCGGCGAAGTTTGGTGCTGTTAGGCAGGTCACAAACCAATCTGAAGGGCCTAAAATAATTAATAATAATAATGAACCTCAGGTGAAGTGTACTAAAGGGACTTATGGGGAATACCTTCAGTCAAAAGCTCAAAGGGAGGCACTTTTGTCTCGGAATGAGAAAGTCCAAGAGAAGGTAGACAGTATTAAAGTTACACAAACTGTCAAAAAGACGTCCAGTGTAATAGACAGGCTAAAGGCTCAGTGTAATAAAGAGCCACAACCAGTTGGTAAATCAAATTCTGATTTACTGGAGCACATAAAGAAAGTGAAACAAAATCATGCTGCTTGGAAATTGGAAATCCAAAAAAAGCCCAGTCCGACCAAAGACCCAAACTTTGCCTCACAAAAATCCTCTAGTCACAATGAAAAACCTGATGGTCAAAGCAAACAAGACACAAGTCATACAAAAACAAACACTGGTAATGAAGTAATCAGATCCAAGCCTGGATGCCACATCTCACCCCAGGCTTCAGTCACATCTAAAGATACCAATGTTGAGGTGTCCATTGGTGAACAACCCAAAATGCCCAAGGTCAAAATGACCATGAGCATCCCAAATGACTTTGAATCCCTACTTAAATCTAGGACAAAATCATCTGGATTTTTTGACAATGTCATCAAGACCAAGGCAACCATAAGCAATGACAATGAAATTACAGATGATGAAAAAACTAGGCAACCAGATGAAAGGGTTCAGCCAACTTCCGATGTAAATTTAAATACTCAAGAACCGGTGCAAATTCAAAATAGTACTCAAGAACTGTTGAAAGCTCAAGATAATACTCAAGAACAGGTGCAAACTGAACATAATACTCAAGAACTAGTGCAAATTCAAGACAATACTCAAGAACAGGTCCAAACTCAAGAACCAGTTGATACTTTAAAGAATGATTTGGAATCTAGAATGTCTGAAGCACAAGTGAAAACTGAGGTCGGTGTTGATGTGAAACCACCGCTTGCAAAACCAGTCAGACCTTTAATAAAGGTGACAGTCAAACAGGAACCACAAGATGTTAAACCAACAGCTGATAATCTAAAATCTTGCTTGTGCACGCCACAAAAAGCTGTGCAGTCTGATGTTGAAAACATAGAACCACCCTTAAGATGTATAAAGGAGGAAATACCAGACTCTGGTTACGATAAAGCTTTGATGGAAATATCCTCAGTAAGCACACCAGGAATAAGTCAAGCACCACTGACTAGTCACACACCAACTACAACAGAATCTAAAGCAGCCTTTAGCACACCAATAACAGCAAGCACACCAGTGAGTTTAAGCACATCAGCTACGGACCAAACATGTGAAACTGCTGGATCTTCCTTTCCAACTGGTGAAACTGAAACATCAACAAATGTTGACTCCATGGAAGCTGAATCTATCCAAAAATCAAGTGATGATGGTTCTGATTCTATCGTGGAACATGGGCATGAGTCTGATAAATCAGGAATTGACGATGATGTCTTTGCTGAACCAAAAATACCTCCTGTCCAGCGTATATTCAGTGCACCCATTCCTACACATAAACCAATAGACAAGAAACTGCTGCTGATCAATAAGGAAAGTTCTTTCCTTGATAAACTCAAGAACTCCCCAACTCTGAAAGCATTGAGGGGTCTTAGTCCATCTAGTCCATCCAGCTCTGAAAAGGAAGCCTCAACCAATGATGATGACTTGCCTGATGTAAGCCAAGAAATGCCTTGTGTAACTGATAAAGATGCTTCTACGAAAGTCACATCAGCAGTTCCCAAAGACCAGGCTATGAAAAATGCTTCAAGTGATAGCAAAGATGCATCCTTGAAACCTAAAGAGTTGTCAAATAAAAGGCGAAACTCAGACAAAGAATCCCATGGTAGAAAGAGTTCCTCTAAGAAAAGAAAAATAGGATCTGAAAGAAAAAATAGTTCAGAAAAGACTTCCTCTTCAGAGAAAAAGAAAGAATCTCACAGTCATAGAAAACATGAGGATAAAAAGAGAGATAAAATGGAACACAGTAAAGTCCATAGTTCTGATAAAAAGAAAGATAAAACTCAGGATAAAGGTTCACATCGTTCAACAAAGTCTTCTGATCAAATCAAAGAGAAGCATCGGCATGATTCTCACAACTGCAAGCCACACTCTGGCCACTCATCTTCAGTGAAAGGTTTCAAGACTTCAAAGCCATCTAGTCACAGCCAAGTAAAAAATGGAAATGCACCGTCAACTTCTTCTAAAGATACTACTCAGTCAACCAGCATGAATGAACCATTAGATAAGGATACAAAGAAAATTTCACATGATTCTTCTAAAATAGTTTCAGCAACCACCAAAGGTCTGATCCCGATTGAAAATGATAAGGATGAACCTAGTGATGAAGATTTCATGAATAATTTTGAGTTTGATGATTCACGCCCATTGACCCCAGTAGAAGCTCTTAGAAACAAGGCGACTCTTGCTAAAATCGAGAGTGACATAGAAGAGCGACTTCAGCGCTATAGAAAGTCTGTCACAGAAGATGAGGAAGAGGAGAGAGCCAGAAAAGAGATGTCTGATGACACTATAGGTTACTCCACCACAAGAATGGAGATGTCTGATGATACTATAGGCTACACCACCACAGATACAGAGGAGTATGACTTCACCCAGTCAACTACTCCTGTATCAGTATCTGATGGTGGAAAAACACCAAAGACATCAAGAAGTCATGGCCTTGACAAGAGTCCCCGTTTAAATATATGTAACCTGAAGACATCTGAGATTAAGCTTGTAAGGGAGGGCTCTCCAGTTGTATGTCGAAAGATTAATACATCAAATGAAACAAAAACTAAATTACAGGAAAAGACCAACGGGAACAAAACTAAAGCATCTGATAGTGATGTAATTCTAAAAGTGTCAAAAGAACTCATAAAAGATACGGAGAAGAAGGAATCAGAAAATCAGAAGATAATGGCGAAGAAGCCTTTTGAAAAGAGAAAGGAATATTATAAAAGGAGTATATCTGATAATTCTGAGGCTCAAAGGAGGAACAAATCATATAAAAGGAGTGTATCTGATGATTCTGAGGCTCAGAGGAGGAAGGTAAAGGACTCTAAAGACCGTAGAAAGGACTCTCCTAAACAGAAAGTAGCAGATGAAGGTCAAAATGCCAAAGCAAAAGATAATGCAAAGAATGTTGAGAAATCAAAGACACATGATAAACATACAATTAAAAAAACTGGAGACATAAAGAATGGATCCAAAAGTTCAGACAATATCAAAAAGATCTCTGCTGTTATACAGAAAGGAGGAAATAATGATAAAAGGAAAGAGGATTTTCAGAAAGAGAGCAAGAAAATGGGAAATGGGGAAAAGAAAAGGACTGATTCAAAGACAGATAATATCAAAAAGATCCCTGCTGTTATACAGAAAGGAGGAAATAATGATAAAAGGAAAGAGGATTTTCAGAAAGAGAGCAAGAAAATGGGAAATGAAGAAAAGAAAAGGACTGATTCAAAGACAGATAATATCAAAAAGATCTCTGCTGTTATACAGAAAGGAGGAAATAATGATAAAAGGAAAGAGGATTTTCAGAAAGAGAGCAAGAAAATGGGAAATGGGGAAAAGAAAAAGACTGATTCACAGACAGAGAAAACAACTGAAAGCATAAAGGCACATAAAACTGAAGAAAGTGCTAGTGTTCAGAAAGCTAGAACAAGTGACATGAAAACACAAGTGACAGAAAAAGATGTAAAGCCAAATGGAGATTGTCCAGTTAATCAGAACAAAACAGGAAAGGATGTAACAGTATCCGTAGCTGGTGAAGCAACAGTAGGAACAGACAGAAGCCTTGACAAAACATTAAACATGAACAAAGTACAGAAGGTATGCGAAACTGCTGAGACCAGTCTCTTCAATGCTGTATTGGTCGTGAAAGAACTTGACGAGAGGCTAGTGGACATCATCAAACATTCCAACCAAAATCAAGATATACCTGCCATATCTGATGATAAACAGCCAGCCAGAGAAGTTGAAAATAATGATGGCCAATCTACTTCGAAAGATGGCATTGATGAGGACAAATGTTCAGTAGACACAGATCACAAAGCTGATAAGAGAAAACAAATTGATAGAGATACAGTAAGAAAAACTCCCGATGAGGCTGTGAAGGTGAACAGTATTGATAACATAGACTTTGGTCTAGCAGCTGAGGTTGCTAAGGACCCATACAATACTGCACTTATAATGTCTGCTTCTAAAACAAGAGGCAGACAACGTGGCATGGCAAAACGTGGGGGAATGGGACGGGGAATGGCACGCTATCGTCCACCAGTTCTAGTTTATGAGGCTGAAGGGGAAGACAGTGAAAGTGCAATGTCAGCAGAAGAGTTAGAGACACATTATGAAAATGCATACAGGGCCATTGACAAACTTAAAGGTCATAGGCAACAGCTACCTAACTGTGACAGGGATGTACCCAAACATAGCATTACCAAACAACAGTCCCCAAGACAGGAGAGGAGCCATAAAGACATTGATATGCGAATTGGTAGGGACTCTATGCAACAAGAACCAGCAGTCATAAGTCCCTTCCATGCCCACTTGACCAACTCCATAAAGCAAGGCAACTGGGATAATCAAGCACAACAAACTGCTGGTGATCCATCACACATTAAACACCATTCTGACCCCTATATGCAGGCCATTGAGGATATGGATTACTCTAAAAACAAGGAAGTCATAACAATACAGACTCTTCAGGAGGCACTTGAAAATATGCCTCAAGATGATCCTTGTAAGATTGCCATGCAACTAAGCATTAATACCCTGATTAGTAAACTACCTATTGACTGTAAAGAATATCTGAATCGATGTAGGAAAGAAACCGCAGGTACAACATCTAGCACACATGTTAATGACAAAGACAGCATGGTGATTTCTGGTGATCAGACTGAGTCACAAACTGCTCACTTCCAACCTAGTGCTGTAGCTGTCCCTGATGCAAAACTAGATCAGATTACATTAAGTCCTAGAGTGAATAATACACAAAATCAGGTAAATGATGTACAAGAAGATGTGAAAAGGAGCTTCTGTCATGATGACAGCAGTAAGATTGACGTATTTGAACCAATTGCCATGGAAATTTCTGCCATAGATGGTACTTCACCATCTAGAAACACTGCATCCCCGCTGCAACCTACACATACAACTTTAACTGCACTGTCCTCTATGAAAGAACCTTCAACCTCCACAGAACTAATGTCTGAGGTAATAAATTCATCTTCAAATAATCCACCATCTTCCATTGTGACAGTGGGGCTAATATCTACAGATGCTATGTCAACTGTTAAAACTGCTGTGTTGACATCTACAGCTGATGCCTCAGTATCTACAGCTGATGCCTCAGTGTCTACAGCTTCTTATTTAAAATCTACATCTGATCTCTCATCATCCACAGCTGGTTCCTCAAATTTGAAAGCTGGTGTATCAACAGTTACAGTTGATGTTTCAACATCTACAGCTGCTGTCTCAAAAACAACATCTACAAAAGCTGACTCAAAAATTTCAATTTCAGTTTCAGAATCTACAGCTGATATTGCAAAAGCTACAACTGTTGTCTCAAATTCTACAACTACTGTTTCAACATCTACAGTTGCTGTCTCAGAGACTACAGCTGCTGTGTTGAACTCTACTGAATCGAAGAAGAAAAGTTCTAATCAACCTCCCATTAAGAGAAAACCAGTATTGAAAAACAGATATAATAGAACTGTGATTGAAGGTAAAGATGCTGATGGCAATGACCTTCCAGCAAGGCATATACCATTAGAACCTAAGATGGCGAAGGGTGTACCAATCCCTAAAGATCCCAGACCTAAATACAGCAAGTTATACAGACAGAGGGTATTTGGGGATAATGGTGAACCAGGAGGGCTGCTATCCCCAGGAAGCTCTATACCTAACACCCCAGAGCCTGGCCTACTCTCCCCAAGATGGGCATTGGCTTCAAAGGCTGATAAACAAAAGCGAGAGGCTCACAAAGCAACTAGTGCTGCTAAACCTGAGCCCCACATAGCAACTAGTTCTGTCAGACCAGAGCCCCACAAAGCAACAAGTGCTGCTAAACCTGAGCCCCATATAGCAATTAGTTCTGTCATACCAGAGTCCCACTTAGCAACTAGTTCTGACAGACCAGAGCACCACATAGCAACTAGTTCTGACAGACCAGAGCCCAACAAAGCAACAAGTGCTTCAAAATCAGAGACCCACAAAGCAACTTGTGTTGCCAAGCAAAAGCCCCACATAGCAACTTCATCAGAGAAACCTAATATTAAACAAGAATCCACAGACACAACTATTGAGTCTCAAGACCATGATGATGCCATTAAAGCACCAGTTGTGGAACCTACTGTCAAAGTAGAAAAGACAGATGGTCAGAAGGCAGCAGATTTGTTCTTAAAAAAGATGCAGATGGCAACTAAAACATTACCTGACACAGCCACCCACCCCACTGACCCAGAAAAGGTGAAATCTACAGCCAGGGAACTGAACTACTTGTATGAAAAACACAAGTTCATCAAAGAACAACTTAAGGCTGAGGACCTCACTATTCAACTAGAGAAGAAGAAACCTGTCATCAGTAAAGTCCGCAAGACTCCTGTTGATGAGGTTGTTTATGTTGAAGACAGCAGCTCATCTGACGAAGAGGAGGGTGAAATAGATGAAAGACCAAAAGGACTGTTAAGAATTCCTAATCTCAGTCGGAGTACCTCAAGGCAGTCATCAAGACCAGACTCAAGGTCCTCTGTTAGATCTATATCCCCACATTGTTCCCAAAGATCAAGCCCTTCACGGCATTGTCAAAGATCTAGCTCCCCTGGATACATACGTCGGTCCCCATACAACAAGCGTAGGTCCAACTCCCCCCTTGGAGAAAGAGACAGAGGATGGCACTCCTCAAATAAAAGATCAAGATCTCCAAAATATGACACTGGTTCCAGATCCAAATCTCCTCAGGGCAGAAGTTGTGTAAAGACATCACATAGATCAAACTCCCCTTCAAAAAGAGGTAGATCAAGCTCCCATGGTCAAAGATCACCATCTCCAGAGTCAAGATCAAACTCGCCTTGGAAAGACTGGAAACGTTATAAAAGATCTCGATCCCCAGGCTACAAATCTCAATCCCCTTCCTACAGATCACGATCCTCTCACTATAGATCTCGATCCCCTGGATACAGATCTAGATCACCAAAAAGATCACCCTCTCCACATAAAAAACACAGGCCATCCTCACATGATAACAAATCAGCCAGACACCATCGTTCAGTGTTTGACAGGCTGGAAGAAAACTTTAAAGAACAGCATGCATTCAATGAAAGTCTCATTGAAATGGCAAGTGGAATCCCTCTCAGTGCTACCAAACCCAATATAGTAAGCCCTGAAAGTTTAACTAGAAGTGTTGTTCGAGGTGAAGTGGCCCAAGAGACAGATGCTAGTGATGATGATAATGATGATGATGATGATGACACACGCTATGTCGTTGTAGATGAAATCAAACAAGAGGAGTCTCCAAAGAAAAAGTTCAAGGCAGTACATATTAGTCCCCCTAGAGATGACCTTAGGGATAGGCTATCACGACCAGCACCTGTGAAGGGTGAGCAATATGACCCAGAATACCCGACATGTGGTACCTCACCCCAGAAGCCACAGCCTCCACCCCCAGGAACTGTACCCCCTAAGACAGATTGGATGCCTGCACCCGGTCCACCACCTCCACAGATGTACCACCATCCACATCCTGGTTTGTTTAATTTCTCTATTTCTAACACAACCAAACTTAAGTTTTACCAAATTGCCAAATATTTTTTTGAAGATCATACTAATGTGATTCCATTGTGCCTTATGATAACTTCAAAAATACTTGTTTGTAAAACTTGCCTATAACGAACTTCCAGGTGTGTATAATGTGAATGTGCATTGGCAGCCCCACCCAGGACACTACCCAACCTCAGGCTACTACCCCCACCCCAGCAACGCCTACCCACACTATGTTTACAGACATTAGAAGTATCACCCAGTAACCCCCCAGGGCTGTCTGTCAGGTGTGAATTGAAGCTACTAGTCACACCCATTCACGATTGTATTGCTGGCCCGAAACAAGACAATAACACGATTATTACACAAGATTTGAAATTGAGCAAATCTGCCAAATTAAGTAGGGTCAAATTCATGTGTATCTACAGTATGTATGGTCATATCTGATATCCACATTAACAGTGAACATTGTTACAGTATTTTACGGTTCAGTACTTAAAATGTTATTAGGAAACAGGTGGCTAGTCTGTTCCTGTGTACTTAAAATATATTTGTGCATACTCAATATATTTGTATTTAGTAAACTTCCTGTGCGTTGATGTTAACGTATGATTCTAAGCTAATCAATCTTTGATTGATGTCCAACTTGAAATCTTCAACCAGTTAGCTTTATCTATTGAGGTGCTGATGGATCATTTGTGTATTTTGTCACATTTTGACACTTATAATCATCGTAGCCAAACAAGAAAATGGGAAATTGGCACCTCTGTTGTGTAAGGTTGGTTTTACACAAATTGGTTGAAAGAAAAACTGCTGTAAAAAGAATAGATAGTGTTTGTTCACATGTGTGATGTGAATCTCATTTAGTAAAGAAAGATCAGGGAAACTTTGTACATAGGCATGTAAATAATTTGTATATTGTATATATTTATACTGGTGCAATCAGGTAAACCGTACTTCATGTGCATCAAAAGAACCTCTCATGTACATGTGTATCAAAATGTATTCATGTGTACAGCACTTCAATGTACACCAATGTGTTGTTCAATATTCATTAATGGATCTCCAATGTTTATAAAAGTGTATTCATAGGTACAAAATTAAAATGTACATCAGTTTGTAATTTCATGTACATCAATGTGTAATTTCATGTACAATTAAAGAGTGTCCTAATGTACATGTGTATCAAAAGTGTATTCATCATATGTACAACACTTAAATGTACATCTATGTGTAATTTAATGCAATAAGGGTTCTCCAACGTTTATCTAAAAAATTGAAATGTACATCAATGTGTAAGTTCATGTACATCAAAGGGTTCCCTAATGTACATGCATATCTTAAGTGTATTCATATGTACATGTACAACACTTAAATGTACATCATTGTGTAATTTAATGTATGTTAAATGGTTCTTAAATGTGTACAAAGAGTATGCATATTACAACAGTCAAAATGTACATTGAAGTATAAATAATGTTCCTTTAAGAATAACTATAATTCTCCATAGTGTATGGACATTAGTATGTGTGCAAAAAATCATAAAAAGTAATGCAAAGTATTAAAAACAAACCAGAGAAGATGCATAAATTGAGCCAAGGTTTTCTCAAAAATTGACCCAATCATAATACTTTGCTAACTGTTCTACACAAAATGAGCAAATGAGCTGCAAACTGCTCAACAAATCAGAGAAGCTTGCTTGTAATAGTGTGTTAAGATTTATATGTTGTTATGACAGATGACCGAGTGATATCGAAACAAAGATGCGAAAATAAACTGTTTTAATTGGTGCTATTATAAAAATCTTTAGGCTATTATAAAAAGCTTTGACTCAACTTTTATTTGGTATTACCACTGATACTTGACTAGAAATTAGTTCAACTTATACTTATAAAAGGTCCATTAACATTAAAAAATGAATAAGCGTGTACTTATGTTAAACCAATTGTATGTACAGAGTACATACTCTTCAAGTTGTTCTGTATGGGTATTGGACATGTAAAGTGTAAAAATGTAAATAAGGCTATATACAGATGTACATAACCATCATGATGTAAATAATCATTTGATATATCGCTTGTGGTCCACTATTAAAAAGAGCTGGCTTGAATGTTAAATCATTTCATAATATAATTCTATTGTACTCGTACAATCATTTCACACTATTCATCTACAATCATTTCACTGTAGTCATTTAACAAAATACATATACAATACACTAATATCACAAATCATTTCACAATACATCTTTACAGTATAGTCAGGTCATAAAAGACATATACAATACACTAATATCACAATATTCATTTACAATCATTTCACAATACATCTTTACAGTACAGTCAGTTCACAATACATCTTTACAGTACAGTCAGTTCACAATATGTGTTTACAGTACAGTCAGTTCACAAAACATACAGTCAGTTCACAAAACATACAGTCAGTTCACAATACATCCTTACAGTACAGTCAGTTCATAAAATACAAATACAATACACTAATATCACAATATTCATCTACATTTATTTCACAATCAACTTTTACAGCATCATTATTTTACAATAGTCCAACTAAATGCACAATGATTCAACATTCAGCTTCAGCTTGAATCCATTAGATTAGATTAGATACATATATGTTTATAGATCAAACTCTTGAAGTATGCTTTTTATTTCACTTCAGATGTCATTTACGTTGCCTCTTAATTCAGGTGTCAGAAATCGAAGGTATTTTTGTACATTTCTTAAGTAATACTAGGTATTTTTGCTATTTTTATAGTGTATTTTATACATGGATCATTGGATAATAGTATTTTGGTTTCACTGAAATCTTGAGGGCCATGACCAGACTTGAAAAACACACTATTATCAGATTATATCAGTCACATTTATAGAAAGTTTTCATATTTTGTATGAGATTTATTCATGTCTCTTATAAATATTCATATCATATGTTGAAACACATCTTCTATATTGAAATATTCAATTCTGGTAATGGCCTTCCATTAAAAGATTTTACATAACAACACCCTTAATGTAATCACTGAATTAAGTGCGATAATTTAACAATAAGAACCATTTAATATTTGGATTTGTGTTACTACAAAGGTAAAGAATTGCAATTTAAACAACACTTTCGGTCTCACAGTTCTTGCACTTGTAGAATTATATTTAACTTGCACTGTGGCTGGAGAGGTTTAACGTACAGACCATAGTTTAGATATATGTCTTTCTCATTTTATTTACCATCACTACACACTATATGCTAAATTAGAATAGCAAAAATGAAATAACATTCTTTTGGTTGACGGTCTTAGTAAAAATCTTGACTTAAATTTTTATAAACTCTCCACCTCTGTACGTTAAACATGAACTTCCAGTTTGGCCACCCACACTGAGAACAAACTTTTCACACTGAAATCATATCTCTACAAGACCTGAACAAAGCTCTAAATTACAAATTAAAATCGCTTGTAGTTTTAATATTTTTTCTATATGTGAAATGTCACTTCTTACTTTTTGCAAAACATTTGGTTTAATCAAGTTGTTTAAAATGCAATTTTTTACCTTATTGTTCAAAGTTGGTGTTGTTATGTAAAATCTTGTGACCCAGGCTTGCGTCACTATCTGGCGACGCAGACTTGACGTCACATCAACAAGGTAATGCTATGTTAAGCATTTATGATACTCATTCCTCATAGTGCAAATATTTCGGTTTAATCAGAGTTCATGGTTAGTGTGGTTATAATTTTCTTACATCACCTCAATAACATGGTGCTTGTATCACCCTGGTAACATTCTTACATCACCATGGTAACATTATACTTACGTTGCCTTATCACTTAGACAACATTTAACAACTATAAATACGGTATATAAATAAACTACACAGTTTATAGTATAAATCCATGTGGAGCAGTCTGGCCTCTTGATCAATGCGTCCATTCCTTGTAAAAGTAAAGATTAGGAAGAGTCTCACCACATTGACCATGAATAGCTCATCAGTTTCAGTCCAGTATGGATTATGTATATTTTACACAGCATAGAATTTACCATTGTTATTGCTTGTGCAAATATATTGGTTTAATCAAAGTTACGGTTTACCTAATTTGTTCTCCCGCAAATTGCAATTCCTTTTAAATCATTTTTAAATAACATGTAACGACTAAATAGGAAAATGTTATTCTGGTGCTAAATGGTCAAATTTATTACTGTTACTAAGTTTGGTTTTTGTTACAGATCTGATGTAATTCATAGAGTGGTATTATCATTTGATCAATAAAATTTGAAAACCGTAATATTCTATTGTTTTTCTAGTATGTTTAAATGGTGAATGGAAAATAATTGTATAACAGTATTAATTACAGTTAGGAACAATATAAGACAGGGCATATTGAAGATAATCCGTCACCAACTGGTCACATGCAGGAATATTTGAAAGTAAACCACTTCTAAGAATGAGTCCCCTTATTCGTTCCCATGGTAAAATGAAACTTTTTCAAAAGATTAATCTTTTCATTTTCAAGGTCTTTGTAAATGTGTGCGTTGCATTATTGCTCTAAGCATACTCGCCCAATTCAATATCCAGGAAAAAATACAGGTTCATATGCGAGAAACAATGTTTTATATTTGCATTATTCAAGTACATGTAAAATACAAATGTCCATTCTTTGCTAATTGTCAAGCTATTTTACTTTTATGACATTAAGAGTGATGAAGCAACGCTAAATCCCACCCAGGAAATTCAAAAATTTTGCAAAAGAGAAGGCACAACAGAACTGAACGAATTGTTCTCGGGAGTCATTGTGCAGCATCTTCATACTAATGTATCCTCGCATCGTAAATATTTTCTATATATTTACTAAAATGCTGTTAATCCAAGGCAGAAATTCAGTTACCCTAGCATAGACCCCAGGAAAGTTCTCCTGGGCACATAGAAAGCCCCAACTTGTCGCACCAAATAACGTATATCGACCTACAAGTAGAAGACATGCAACATGGTAACTTAGACAATATTCAGGAGGGTTTCTTAGGTCTATGTGAATGAGTCGAACCCAAGAGGGCTCTCGTTGATTTATTTATTGTGCTGTATTGTAATAGAAATGTTCCTTATGAATGATGAATTGAAAAATCATTTAGTGATCTCAACCTATAAGATTAAACTGACAATCAAAAATGGCCTAGGTTTTTTAAAAATCATTTTACATTTTTTACTGATTGAAGACGTTATCGGATCTTGTCTTGTATTTTCTATGCTTGCCATTCATCGTATGAATTGCATTCCCGATGCACTTACCATCAACTTTACATACGAGCGGGCCACCAGAGTCGCCGCTGCAACTGTCAGTTCCTCCCTCCAGGTAGCCTGCGCACATCATCCTGTCTGTGATCGTGTTCCCGTACAAACTGTTACACAGCGTCTGATTGATGAGAGGCACGTCTGCGCCTTGGAGGTGGGTGGCATATTCTAGAGTAGGGGTATAATGAGCAATTAAAGTGAAACTGCATACTGTTAAAGGATTGGTATCGATATGGAGAACTGAATTCAACAATGTTTTTCTCTTAAACCAATCATTGAAAACATTCTGTAAAAAAACATGGTATTTTATGTAATGTTGACTGATTGATAACTATCTAATGCGAAAATTATTTATATTTTTTGTTTTTTTAGTGCAATTGTTTTTGCTCCTTTCTACCAATTCTTGAGAATGAAATAAAATGTCTTTCCGAACCTTGTTGGAACAAAATAGCATATACAACATGTTTTTAGACCTCTCAATATTATAGTTATACAAAGGAATTTTTGGTTGATTTTAAAAAAGTATTCAAAAAATTAAGACAAAATCCCCCCAAAATAGATAAAAATCCAGATAAACCTTTTATTTCATTAACAAGATACTTTTTTAAAAACGTGTGTTCAAAAAGTTCGCCATATAGTCATATACGTATGAAATGCATTGATGAATCCAGATGGTGAAACTGAGTTATCAGTCACATGTGCTCTACGGCGAGCGTTCGGCTTATCCCTATAATTTATGTTGCATATTTTTCTCAATCTTGGGAAGCTACGGCCGCCGTACGGTTGCCGTAGATCATAGATGTGACTAAGGTATAAGTGATTGTTCTCTGATTGAAACCCGATCCGTGAAAAGGGACGCTTAAGTGTCGCCGAGCCGTTATTGTCTTCTTTGAAATCGGAAGACATTTTCTGATTTATAACAAAAATATTTTAGCCCACGAGTACTCACTGACTCCTGTTTGACCCCAACCAGATATCAGGCAGGATTCATCTTCATCTGGTACACTATCCTCAGCTGGTAGACATGCAGGTTGGACGTATTTGTTGAACACTATCCCTTTACCAAATTTGGGCTTGATTTTTATTAATGCCATGTCATAATCGTGACTCACGACTGAAAGAAAAGATTCAGGTCAGCTTTTGGTCAAAGGCATAATATCCATAAAAAGTGACTCTGCGCAAACTTTGCATCATAAGTACAAAAACAACTATAAGTATTTGATTGTGCATCTTTGTATTGTGAATGTCTCCCTTTGTATTTTGGTTGTTTCATCTATGAGTATCTGATTGTGCATCTTTGCATTGTGAATGTCTCCCTTTGTATTTTGGTTGCTTCATCTATGAGTAGCTGGCTGTGCATCTTTGTATTGTGAATGTTTCCGTTTGTATGTTTCATCTATGAGTATCTAATTGTGCGCCTTTATGTTTTGAATGTTTTATCTATGGAGTGTTTGGTTATGCAGCTTCCTATTTATAATGTTTCATCTATGGGTATGATTGTGTTTTGGATGGTGAATGTTTCATCTTTGAGCGTTTGATTTAAGTACAAAGAAGTGTGATTGTTTGTATATTGCTGGTTAATTAGCGTATGTAGTCTATAGTCTATACCTTCGTAGTTTGGGTGTTTAATGAACGCGTCAACTTCAAATTCTATCTCCACACTGTCTGTGAATGTGTTCACTAGATCTCCCACTCGCACAGTGATGTTTTCCGCATGTAGTTCTCTGAAAGTTCATGACGTGGAATAATCGATCCAATCAATGGTTTAACTGATTTTTAACGTTACAAAAGTGAAATACCACCCATTTTAGACCGCTGTGGATAACAGTGGTCTACTTTTCGAAATTGCAAAAAAATTAAAAGTAAGCTTACACACTGACCGGTGTAAATTACAATTATTTTCCTTATTATTTATACACAGTCAGGACCAGTAAGGGCCGTAAGGAAAGGGGACCATAATCCCCAGGGGACCATCATTTCTTTTACACTGGGTTCACGGTTAGTACACAGAATTACCTTCCATTTCTATCCCACCCACAATGTGCGACGGACATGATCCAATATTCGTTCAGTATAGTACCCCCACACCAGTGCGTGCTCTTTACTTCTCTGTTCTTGTGTTTCAGGTAACGAAGACCAACCTACATGTATGAACAAATTGATTAAATTGAATATTCACCAATCTATTTTTCCATCTCTCATAATTAAAGGGACTCAAAAGGATAGGGACACGTTTAGGGTAAGTTTCGAAAAATTGACACTTTACAATATCTCTTAGTATCTCATTTCATCTATACATTTTTCTAAAAAATCCAAGAGTTCTGAATTCATTCCATGATATTCCTTCTGTCAAAAGGGGACGTCTGATCAGCATCATAACTCTTCAATACCAAAATGTCATGCAGTTTTTACATACTCAAAATAGAGCTTATTGGTCTCACGGTCTTGTTTGATGATGACAAACTGGTCGATGGAGTAAGGAAAAACAAGATCTGCTGCCAAACTTAATGGCACATCGATAGTTTTACTGACCTGCCACGGATAGTGACCGTAAAAGGCGTTATTTCCGCCCACAATTCTCAATACATGACCAAAATCTGCTAAATTTATGTCTCTTTTACTTTTCAATGCTGCCCTGTCAGCTATAGCTGGTCGTATACCACATTGTAGTGGAGCAGCCCTCTCTGTAATTGAAATAACTACATTTTGAACTGAAATTCCAACTAACACCTTCTTAAAAAATAATGCCAGCAAAAACTACATGTAAGAGAACCCTTAAAAGTGGCAATAGGTTATCAACGGACATTGAGCTTGAAAAATTGATGCTTCAGAGAAATCGGGAGAGAAATGTTCCACAACCAATATATTTGCTGGTTCAGTAACTATCCCTTTTTAATTTTTGATGGATCCGTGAAAAGCTTGGTTCCATCTTATCTCTTTAAATGGACGGATTGCGTACCTGTTGTTGTCGGTTGGGTTGTAGTTTTAGTAGGTATTGGGGTGGTAACAGTTGATCTTCGGGTGGTAACAGTTGATTTTCGGGTGGTAACAGTAGATCTTCGTGGTGGCTCAGTTGTGTCAGGGGTTTCTGTTGCTAAAATCAAATCAGCTCACTTTAATATCAGATGAGTCCAGAAATAATACAAACTCATATTGGATTAGAATCCTATATTTCTTGACCAAAGGCCTCAGTCGAGATTATCACAATTTTAAATTCATGAGGAAATCTCAATGTAATGTCATAAGATTCAGTTAATGATGGAATCATGCTGCAGAATTTGTTGGTGACTTACATTGGCAATTTACATTTCTTGGCCAATCACAATTCCCGGTGAGTGGTTGAAAATGCAAAGGCCAATTGCATGTTCTTGGAACTGGTGACCCGTGGTTACATTGATAGAAGTGGGAACAGAGTGTAGGGTGTGCGTAGTGACCAAACTGGGTCGGGCATTTAAATGCTACGTCTGTATCTAGAACAGAACTCACCATAAATAAAGGTAACAGAGAGAATTATTACTTATATAAAACATGTATACTAGTATTTAACTAAGGTTTATGATATGGTGTATCTTTCCGGAACGCAAATGAGATGCAAAATACTCAATCGACCAGGCGCCAGCAAATGTGACACAGCATTAGCGACGAGTCCCCTTAAAATGGCTATGTTTATCAACGGACCTTGAGCTCGATGAAAATTGAAATTTCGCTAAAAATGTTCCACAACCAAAACATTTCCTGGTTCAGATCCTTGAAAAGCATGTTACCTGTTGTTGTCGGTTTGGTTGTAGTAGTTATCTGGGTGGTAACAGTTGATCTATGTGGTGGTTTAGTTGTGTCAGGAGTTTCGGTTGCTAAAATCAAATCTGGTCACTTTATTCCACATCAGATAAGATAATTCCTATATTTCTTGATAATAGTCGAGATTATCAATTTCAAATTCATGAGAAAATCTCAATGTAATATGAAATGATCATAAGAATTCAGTTAATGATGGAATCAATCTGCAGAATTTGTTGGTGACTTACATTGGCAATTTACATTTCTTGGCCAATCACAATTCCCGGTGAGTGGTTGAAAATGCAAAGGCCAATTGCATGTTCTTGGAACTGGTGACCCGTGGTTACATTGATAGAAGTGGGAGCAGAGTGTAGGGTGTGCGTAGTGACCAAACTGGGTCGGGCATTTAAATGCTACGTCTGTATCTAGAACAGAACTAACCATAAATAAAGGTAACAAAGAGAATTATTACTTATATAAAACATGTATACTAGTATTTAACTAAGGTTTATGATATGGTTATCTTTCCGGAACGCAAATGAGATGCAAAATACTCAATCGGGCGGGCGCCAGCAAATGTGACTCGGGCATTAGCGATGAGTCCCCTTAAAATGGCTATGTTTATCAACGGACCTTGAGCTCAATGAAAATTGAAATTTCGCTAAAAATGTTCCACAACCAAAACATTTTCTGGTTCTGATCCTTGAAAAGCATGTTACCTGTTGTTGTCGGTTTGGTTGTAGTAGTGATCTGGGTGGAAACAGTTGATCTTTGTGGTGGTTTAGTTGTGTCAGGAGTTTCGGTTGCTAAAATCAAATCTGGTCACTTTATTCCACATCAGATAAGATAATTCCTATATTTCTTGATAATAGTCGAGATTATCAATTTCAAATCCATGAGGAAATCTGAATGTAATATGAAATGATCATAAGATCATTAATTAAGAATTCAGTTAATGATGGAATCAAGCTGCAGAATTTGTTGGTGACTTACATTGGCAATTTACATTTCTTGGCCAATCACAATTCCCGGTGAGTGGTTGAAAATGCAAAGGCCAATTGCATGTTCTTGGAACTGGTGACCCGTGGTTACATTGATAGAAGTGGGAACAGAGTGTAGGGTGTGCGTAGTGACCAAACTGGGTCGGGCATTTAAATGCTACGTCTGTATCTAGAACAGAACTTACCATAAATAAAATTAAACTAGTAAGAATTATAACCGTTAAACTATATAACTTAGATAATTATGAAATTATTGAACCAGGTTGACTGTCCGAAAATACGAGATAGTATTTATTATTATATACCCCATATGTATTCTAGATACAGTAGGTCGGCACATTTGTATACTGATAAGTAGTTACCGAAATCCCAGGTCACAATACAAAGGAGAGGTATATTTCGAACAGTCAGTTTCTTGCACAATATAGTGGAACACACCACTTGTTCATATCACATCCAAGACAAGGAAAACTAGGAAGGGTGCGGGTAATTAGTACTACAGTGCAATATGTAACTCTACCAAAAATGCAGTCTACCTTTGTAGCAAATTGCACCAGCCACTGTCTCGCTCAGGCATTCTTGTTCTCCCCAAGGCTTATGGCGGCATTCTTGAAGGTTCATCTCGCTCCCGTCACAATCCACCCCTGCTAGAATTGTATCATCATATTGCTGTGCGGGAAACACTGGGGCATCGGTAGCCCTACGAATACATGCCAAAGTTTAAATAAATCATGAGATCTATCATCAAAATCAACTGTGGACTTGTTTTAGCCTCCTCTATTCACGATGAACAATCTTTCTGATATTCGAAATCGCCCTTTTCTCATTTTGCATAATGATGATGCTGAAACATAACTTACCAATCGTATCCTGCTTGTTTACACGAGATGTTAGCCTCGTAAATTGTCCAATCGTCTCCACAAACATTACCTCTTAACCCATCCTCTCCTGACATATGGACCTCGATCTTGTCGTTCTTAAATTCTACTTCCACCTCAATGTTGTCATCTTGAATTGAAAAGGAACAAGGGAATAATAAATCGACAAATAAAGGGCATCTCGACTGTTGCGAGATAAACCATGGAATCTTCTGTAACGAGGAGGGCCGTTACAGAAGTTCTGCTAAAATGTACTAAGCCATACAATTGATGTTCTCATACCGTCAAAGAATTCAAAGTAGTCGAATAACGCGCCATCAATGAGTTTACCAACATCAAATATAGTGGCACCCATCACAGTACACGCCCCAGTAGTTTTATCGTGCAAGAACGATTTGCAGGCGAACTCAAACCCTTCTCTCTCAACGCACTTTCTTGCGCACTGAAACACAAAACGGCCAAATACCAAATTCGGCTCTATGTGTTAATATGAGCATTTATCATATTAAAAGTTTTTATATCTAATATTTTAGTTGTTGTGGCTTGAAAGAAGAGTGCCGGTGCATTTGAGTAAATATATGTCGCCCCTTTAGTTTTGTGGCTTTTTATTTATAGGATTTTACGAAAGCATATGCCTATCACTAAGAAACTTGTTTCACTAATCGGAAACAGTCATACGTGTATATGTCCAAAACTTTGTTACCAGAAGTGTTTTCATCGGAGTTGAGAAGTTATGATGTTTCAGCAAAGACATGTAGCCCAGTGTTTTGTTAGGAAATTGTGTGAATTCTCTGAGGTATTTTTCGGTGCAGCCCATTTCATCCTCTCCCCGAACACAATCAACTTCTCCATCACACCTCCAGTCCTTATACACCCATCTAGAACTAACATTGTCAAAATATGTTCAGTTAAGGTAGGTGCTGTCGACGTAACCATAAGGTCGTGAGTTCCAGACACGTGAGCTCCTTGCGTTTATTCATTCACTTTTAAAGGACCTCAATTACTGATGCTATTTTAACTATATCTAACTATAACTATCAACTTACCAAAAACATGTGACTTCGCCGTTCTGTGTCAGATGAGATATGTCAACATGATACATTATGGTACAAGTCCGGCTTTGATTTGCAAAAGCCTGGCAAAGGCTTGTAACACTTTTATTAAATATCTAGGCCTACTTACTTTTTATCATTAGGAGTACAGAACGATCCCCAACTATTGGTGTCGTGGTGTGTGCCTGTCACTTCGTCACATTTAGAAATATTACAATATTCATACGCTGAACTTGATATCCAACACCAAGGAGAGATATCATCATCCGGGTTCCGACAGAAGTTGTGCCCATCAAGACCCTATGCCAAAACATGTATAAAACATAACTAAACAATTACAGAAAATATAATTAATCTTTGGTTTTACTGCAGCAACCATTACTTTTAATCATTTAGAACTAGAATACTAACAGTTTATCAAATGCATATGGTACTTCTAAAGTTTGTGCATAACTCATGGAAAATAAGTGTTATTGCTGATTGTTTTGACACTTTTGCAAAACGTTTATTGTACTATCAGTTATCACACGTTTCAGCATGTGATACTGTCAGGAAATATTCCACGAAAGGTAATATTGTATCATCCACGAAAGTGAAGCTTGAGTGGTGATACATTGTTACCCGAGTGGAATATTTCCTGTATCACATAAGCTGAAACGTGTGATGACGATTTTATCACATGTCTAGGAATTTTGAATCATTTTGATTTGGTCAGTTATGATTGTGTTCAGTACTTCTGGTAACTACTATAATTTTTGATTTCGCTTTGAAACAATATGACGTCATACCGTTGTATTCGTACTTGTTTGTGAAATAGTATGACGTCATATTGTTTTCCTTAGCTAGAAGTGATATAATCAGTGACGTCACATCGTTGCTATTGATCATCACTGGTTGCCTCTAGTAACGTGTGAGACGGCCGTGTGAGACGGGAAAACTCACACGGTAATCAACCAATCAGATTACTGGAATTTTACAGAGCATCACAATTCCAGTAATCTGATTGGTTGATTACCGTGTGAGTTTTCCCGTCTCACACGTTACTAGAGGCAACCAGTGATGATCAATAGCAACGATGTGACGTCACTGATTATATCACTTCTAGCTAAGGAAAACAATATGACGTCATACTATTTCACAAACAAGTACGAATACAACGGTATGACGTCATATTGTTTCAAAGCGAAATCAAAAATTATAATAGTTACCAGAAATACACAGGGTACTGAGCACAATCATAACTGACCAAATCAAAATGCTTCAAAATTCCTAGACATGTGATAAAATCGTCATCACACGTTTCAGCTTATGTGATACAGGAAATATTCCACTCGGGTAACAATGTATCACCACTCAAGCTTCGCTTTCGTGGATGATACAGTATTACCTTTCGTGGAATATTTCCTGTATCACATGCTGAAACGTGTGATAACTGATATTACAAGGTATAACACATGGTGACACAGAAAATGTCACCCAACCACGTAATGTTGCATGACTTTTTTGCAAACATTTGTGGGCGTCATTTTTGTGTCACCCTGTATATCTAAGTTGAATTATTTTGACAATATCTCAATGGTAAATAAGCTTTTGATAAGGATTCCTGTTCATTATTAGCCATATACTTTTGCAATATTGGTTACTTTACTTTGTTTGGAAATCGCTCTGGGTTCACTATTCTATTGTCACTCCACGGAAGACAGGGCTTGCCAGATGCGGAAGTGGTTTGCGTTCCACTGTAACCCAGTCCCTTACCTCTTAAACATTCTTCCACTGGCTTTTTGGTGGGAGGTTCTTTAAGAAAAGAATTTTGTGATCATATTTTAACAGCCTTCAATAATTACTAACGGCTACAGAGCTTTCGGTATTATACAAGTTTGGTACAAGACCTTGTTTGGTTTGGTAAATGTAATACCTTATCCACACTTTCTCACCTTCAGGAGTCTTCATATCTCTCTCACATATGAATTCTTTGGGTTCATCGCAATCAACCGTCTTGTATGACATATAGTCCTCTCTTGACGTAATTTTGGTCTTAAGCACACGGCATTCAGATTCCCTTCGTCCGTCAATGTAAAACTCATTGATTTCCTCATCTATCAACATATGAAATGATTTAAACATTTTGATTTATCTGAGTCTCACGATATAGCGTTTTGGTACTCCAAAGGACAATACTTGCTGTGGATCCCACAATGTGATTTATAAACGTTAAAGGAATACTGTATTCCTTGCCAGACCATTTATCTTACTCAATAAAAATAATACAGAATATATTTAAAACAAGCATACCTGGAAGACATGTTATTATCAATCTTGAGGGGAAAAATACTCCATTTTTAACAACCTGCCAATTGTACCCCAGCTTCTCTGGGAAGAGCCCTCTATCCCTTGTGTAGGCGTAGGCATTGGGTAATGTCAGGTTGATCCCAATCATCCAATAGTTGTTGTCACTATAGAAAAGCACATACTTCTTGCTTGTGTGTTCGTACACTGGGCGGTCGTTTTTCTGTGTAGCAAATCTGTCAAGGATGAATTCACTGTTATACGGGCCATCAGTTCTATCATTTGTTCGTATCTCCAGTTTTTGACAGTACGTTCCTTTTACACTTCGTCTATTTCCATCCCTCATTGAATGTATGTTCAGTATTGTCTTTTGTTCTGTAGTGCTGCCTATTTTCACGAGGTAACCGTCATTTTCTTCACAAATCTCTTTCGCGACATTGTATGGTTCGCGGCGCATTTGAGATATATAGTAGCATTTTCCAAACCGGGGATACCATCCTCTTTTGCAACCTAATGAATGACATATAATTCAGTTCATTGCTCAGTATTATATTGTCCAAAATGCCATTTAACAACGAATAAAAAGAAAATGTGAATAAAAAGAAAATGTAAAAATCGATCTAAACGGACAATGTACAGTGTACAGTTTTGGGAAGCATCTAGAAACTGGATGGAAAATGACCACCCGGTACCCTGCCTGCAGTTGAAATTTATTTCGTTCTATATAACTATTTTACCAAGTGTGAATATTTAGCACCAGATTCAATGCTTTGTATTGTGTGTGTTATATATCACTCGTGGATTGTATGCTAGCCTTAAACTCGACCATCTTACTCGGACGACATCTTCGACTTCCAAGGTGTTATAACAAGTTGGAACTGAAACCTTGGGAATCAAGATGCCCAATCAAAGGAAGCGACATTCCACTTGGGATATGTTTTACAAACAAAGCATTGAGGCCGGTGCTTAATTCCTTAAGCCATGTGTTTTCTTGGCCTACCTTGCAGTGTATGATACTCGTATTGATAGCAAAAATTAGTAAGTAACTTGTCACATACCAAGGCTTTTGTTTTCAACGCATTGTAGATTAACATTTCCCTTTTTGACCTGGCTCTGTGTAGTTACCGTTGTATATTGACAGTCTTGGTACCTATTCTCGTTGCCAAGACAACGCACGTTGCTAAGGACAGACTGCCAAGGCGGGAAGAGAAGAGTGAACCAACTGGCAAGTCGAACATGACCGGAGCTGGATCCACTAAAACATTAACATGCTATTGCTCACTTGCATGTTAATATAGAGTACAACACCATAATGGTACTCGTCTAATAATGTTGAATGATACTTGCCTAATAATGTGGAATGATACTCGTTTAATAATGTGGAATGATTGATACTCGTTTAATAATGTGGAATGATACTAGTTTAATAATGTGTAATGATTGATACTCGTTTAATAATGTGGAATGATACTCGTTTAATAATGTGTAATGATACTCGTTTAATAATGTGGAATGATACTCGTTTAAAATGCGGAATGATACTCGTTTAAAATGCGAAATGATACTCGTTGAATAATGTGGAATGATACTCGTTTAAAAATGTGGAATGACACTCGTTTAATAATGTAGAGGCGCATTGTTTTTTAGATTTATAGAGGAAATATTTCAACCATCGATTCAAAAAATGTGCACATGACCATACTTATATCCCAGTTGCTTGCAGACGACGTTACTTTCCTTCGTACCCCAGTTCTCATTTGACACCAATCCCCACTTTCCGTCCCTATATACGTCCAGACGACCCAAGCCAGCGTAATTGTAATAAGTGGGAACCAATCTAGAATGGAAAAGCGCAAATGATGACAGTAAAATTAATCAAAAAGAGCCCTCGTCGATATGTTGGTGATGTACGTTCGACGTGTGCTTCACGACCCGGGGTTTACGAGCAAATTTAGGGTACTATAGGGTCAGTCTACCCAGAGGTTATGGTTCTCAATTTTGCCTTTATTGACATTGATTGATGAATATAACTAGTAGTTGGGCACCATGTAAATCAATGGAAAGTGGGTCAAATATGGCCCAGACCCAAATTAAATTGCAAGAGCAAATAGAACATTCTGGGAGCATATTTTATCATACCTCACATCTCCCTCACTTCCAACCGGTAAATCCTGAAAATGAGCAAAGAAAACGTATCAAGATAAAATAAAATTACATCACAGTTATAACAAATAACGATAGTTCGTCAGCTTTCTTTATCCTAGAAAAAACTAACCTCCGTGAAATCTGGATCCAGGCTGTCAATGTGTCGTAACACTTCTATTGGCGGGTCGACGTTGATATCTAGGTTCTCATCACTAAAACCACCCCATGAGCTCTGGCTGAAGGTGAAATTTAATGTTTTCGAATAATTGTGCTTTCTGGGTTGTCGTGCTAATTTTTACATACCTTAACAGGTTGTGATAGTAATAAATAAACACATTGAAAAATAAATTGATAGCATTGGGCTTTATGCATTGACGGGAAATGAGAATAATATGTCAATGATTACTAGCTTACCTGTTCGTGATATCAGGTTCATGTTGTCTGGTTCGACTGCTTGCAGATCTCCCCTTTCCCATGCCACGACTGTCATATCTGCCTTTAGATCTTCCCTTCCCTTTGCCTTTACCATGTTTACCTTTATGCCCTTTATGGCGGTGTTCTTTGCCATGCTGCAACAACGATAACTTGTATGTACGATTATGATCCATGAGACACAAATTGAGGGCGTTGCTTTTTATAATGCACAAATCTTTCAGAATAGTTATATTTGCATTTGTAATTTGCGTTAGAATTGTTTGTCACCAGCGTTTGTCTTTGATTTTCTCGGGCCAAACCTCCTTTCACTTCAATGCTAGAAGCTTGCAACAGTCACATGGTTTATCAAAAAATGTTGGTTGAATCTGTCCGAAACGCGATACTATTCGATGATCCTGTCGATGTACATATTGTGATTAAACATGAAAATGTTGGTTGTCATACGAATAAGCCAAGGTTTTAATAAATTTTAGCACTTCACCAATGGAGATTCGGCCCAATTTTTTTTGAAATGTCATGGAAAATGATTTAAATGACATAACTGTGTAAATCAAAGCTATCAATGGAGAAAACTAAATTCTCACTAAAATTGTCACTAAATTCAAATATGCTATTAAAAAGTAAGTCATAAGAGGTAAAAGGTGCAAATCTCTTGAAATTCCTTGAAATACGAGATTTCAAAGCTATTTAGAAACTACTCTATTTTTCTTGTTGAACAACAAATAATATTCCATACGACAAAAGCTCTGGTATGCTATTGTCCGATCTATCGACACGAGGGCAATTCCAAGGGGTAGGGAACGTAGAGCAAAGTTTTATTTTTTACGAGATATTCTTTATACAATAGTATTGGTTCTCAATAGATACGATATAATCAAATATTATACAATACCACATAATACATAGGATAAAGTACAATAAAAAGAGTTAAACGCAATACAATATACTCATTTTAAATTCACGTACCCTCTTTTTACAATCCACCAAACATAATACTGTTGATATCAAAACGACGACTAGAATGATATATCCAAATTTCATTGTGAACGACTTTCCTCAAAATATTATTCAAAGAATCTACAAGTCAGCCTCGTGCATTTCCAAATTTGTTGAAAGTCGAAACACAGAACTATTTATATTGTTTTTAATTATGTCCTTTCTTTTGATGATTTAGGAAGTAGTATCGTAATTGTTGTATATGTATAGATAACTTTATGTAGAAAGTTTTGTTGGTACATTTGTTTGTAAAGAGTTCAAAGGTTTCGGATATCTCTAGCTAGTGATTAGAAAATCCAATCGTCGATTAACGTTAATATAGTATGTTACTTTGGTCCCGCATTTCAGAATACGTATACTGATAAAGATTAATGGCCCGCTAATAAAGAGATTCAAGGAGATTTTTCATATTTGACAATCAAAGGGTTGAAGGCATGCTTGAACTTTTTGCTCTATTTCTACTTTGATTACAAAGTTAAAGGTCTAAGAAGTTAGGAGTTTTCTGAAAATGTTGGGCCAAATCTCCATTGACACACTGGTAAAAATCTTGAAAAGCTGATTTTCAAGAATTACAATTTTAATACTGATGCAACATTAGATCTGATAACATTAAGTTCTAGATCTAGAAAGGAGCTTCTGTCATGATGGCAGCAGTAAGATTGACGTATTTGAACCAATAGAGGAGTTTCTAAATGATTTTGAAATCTCGTCAATTCTCGTTTTTTCATGAGATTTTAAGAGATTTGCACATTTTACCTCTAATGACTTACTTTTCTTTCTTTTGTGATATGTTTCCTACAATAATAGCTTTGATTGACACATTTATGTCATTTAAATCATTCTCCATGACATTTTAAAAAACTTGGGCCAAATCTCCATTGATGTTATGCTAAAATTCTTTAAAACCATGGTTTAATCGTATGACAACCAACATTTTCATGTTTAATCACAATATGTTCATTGACAGGATCATTTAATAGTATGCCATTCAAAGTTTCAGACAGATTTAACTAGCACTCTTTGATAAATCATGAAATTAAGTGACTATTGCAAGCTTTTAGCATAGAACTCAAAGGAAGGTTGGCCCAATATGAACAACGGTGACATCTATTATGTCAGCTTTATTCAGCTTTATTTTGCTATTTAGAAACTATACTATTGCCATGTGGAAATTTCTGCCATAGATGGTACTTCACCATCTAGAAACACTGCATCCCGGCTGCAACCTACACATACAACTTCAACTGCACCGTCCTCTGTTCAACGTTCAACCTCCATAGAACTAATATCTGAGGTATCACCTTCAATTTATCCACCATCTACTATTGTGACAACAGAGTCAATATCTACAACTACTAAAACTGTGTCAAATAGCAACCCCATCAGAGAAACCTAATATTAAACAATAAACCACAGACACAACTATTGAGTCTCAAGACCGTGATGATGCCATTAAAGCACCAGATGTGGAACCTACTGTCAAAGTAGAAAAGACAGATGGTCAGAAGGCAGCTGATTTGTTCTTTAAAAAGATGCAGGTGGCTGGAAACCAAAACGACTGACTCAGAAAAGTGAAATCTACAGCCAGGGAACTGAACTACTTTTATGAGAAACACAAGTTGATCAAGGAACAGCTGAGTATCTCACTATTCAATAAGATAAGACGAAACCTGTTGTCAGCAAAACTCCTGTTGATGAGACTATTCATGTTGAAGACGGCAGCTCATCTGATGCAGATGAGGGTGAAATAGACGAAAGACCAAAAGGACTGTTGAGAATTCCTAATCTCAGTCGCAGTTCCTCAAGGCAGTCATCAAGACTGTTAGATCTATATTCCCACCTTACTCCCCTGGATATAGACCTCGATCCCCACACTAGGTCCAACTCCCCTAATGGAGACAGAGACAGAGGAAGGCATACCTCAAATAAAAGATCACGATCCCTAAACTATGACACTGGTTCCAGGTGAAGCGACTGGCAGCCATCTTGGTTTTGCCCATTCAAATTAAACTGGCGGGAAATTCAAAAGTTTGAAAAAATTTACAAATCTAAAATATATCTCAAAAGAATAATTTTCTTTTCAATTCTTCATGTATCTTAATTTGTTTCTACTTTGCATGTCAAACATGTTGCCATTGGTGTTTTTTCTATAATAACGACTATTTGTATTTTGTTAGGATACTTATTTTAACTCTCAGCAGGGGGTTCATTATGCATCAAATCTAAGGAAAGAGTGCGTATACTTATCAAATATAACAGTTTAGTGAGGGACCAAAAGAGCATATCCCGACTCATCCTTTATTGAGTAATACACAATTAATATTCGTTTAAAAAGATATAAGTATCATTGGTGAATTTTGAAGTAAGCTTGTATAAATGTACCTCTTCTGAAGGTTCCAAAATACAAATTTTCCTTCCATTTTCAACAATTAAGATATCTGGAGTGAATAATTTTTTGGGTCGCTCATGACACCCTGATGTCAATTTTAGCCTCTAACTCTAAGTTTTTCAATCAAACGGTGTCACGTCGTTGGAAAATGATTTATCTTTAAAATGATACATAACACATAGTTTAACATATACCATATGACAGTATGATATTCCTCTTTAAACTTGGCATTGTTTTTTGGCCCACCCTGTATAATGAAGAAAAAAGAAAAGGGTGCATTCTGAAAAACGATGTACATAGAAAAGACTGTTAGTCCAAAATATTAATCGTAGAATTCGTGAAAACGATAGGTCTATAGACGAAATGTTATAGTCAATATACTGCACTTTCAATTGTCAAATTATGTAAATTATTATTAGAAATATATGTACTAAGTTCAATCATGGCGCGATTGTTCCATCTGTTCACACTTCAAATCTCTCCCATTTCATTTATCAAATTACGGTGGCCTATACAATAAGTCCAATATTCTATGTTCTGTCCAATCAGTTCCAAATAGGTTGTGTATACAAGATAAATATTATTTTTCAGTGCAATTAATTACAAGCAGGTATTAGACAGGGGTGTAGCTAGGATTCCAAATATAGACGAGTAAACTGAAATGGACGAGGCAATAAGAGCTAGGTTCGCTCATGAAGGAGTGAACAACTCGGGACAACTCTACTCTGTGTTCCAATGGACCATCGTAGGTTATGGGATTGTCTGGTGGTTGAACTAACCTAGTGCCGGGTGCAAAATGGCAATGCATACCTCAAACGTATTCAGATTGTTTCCTTGGGACTAACTATTTCCATGACCGCAATTATCGAGCCAACATGGATGCTGACGGTTAATTAGGATTGTTACGTATGTTTAATGCAGGCTTAGACATCAGTAATTTAGGATAAACATGGGATATTTTGTCTATGTAACCGGAAAGAGAATCAATCATTATCATCCACACTTACTGTAAATAAAGTCTCCATTTTTTTTCCATGATAACGACCGTTAATCCACTCTGTATGTTTTCAAAAGTTCAGGGTTATTTTAAACATTGTAAAACGTACAATATGTTCGACGTTATCAATTCAGCCCAGTCTTCAAATTACAAGAGAAGATGAAGGTCCTGTTTATTTTAACACTGGCAGTGATCGCCGCTTCGGCCGAGCACTACCCAACAGACGAAGAAGCCCTCTTGGCAGAAGAAGGAGCTGGTAAAACTTCAAAACCTTACGTGCTTTTGAATTAATTTTGAATTCTAGTACGGTTTCTTAGAGATGAAGGCCGCGAAGAAGTTTTCTATAAGAATTTAGAGTGAAAGTAACATCTTCAATACAATTTTAACAATGGCACATTTTATTGAATCATTTTAAAGTTAAACATAATACATTGGTTTATTTATTTCAGGAAAGTTTGAGGGTGATATTGATGAAGATCCAAATGTAAGTGTATGCGAATCAATTAAAGGGGTAACAAAGACGAGTAAGACCATTTGTTCTCAACATTCCATGTTAGACCTTCTTAAAAAACTCAAACATAGTTCTAAAAATAGACACCCCTATTTTCTAAAAAAATGTGGACATTTATAGATCTTAATTTTTCAACAACTTCCACAATTGATAAGATTGATATATCAATAATTTTTCCGATTAATAAAAAATCAAAATATACCATCTTTATTTGTTAATCTTTGTTGTTACTTTAAACAATATTTCACAAAAATGCTATATTAGGAAAAACATATGCTATTATGTAATTAGCAGGTATTACGTCATAATGAAAACAGAGAAGCAATTAACTTGTAATTTTGAAGTAATTAAGCTGCAATTTTGTCATATCCGTCACAAACACTATTAACTGCATATATAATATACCATTGGAAATAACATCAAAAGTTATGTTAAAACCGCACAAACAGTGACCATCCAACTAACAAGAATATTTTCTTGTCATTATTTTGAAAGGGGTGAGGTTTTGCCTTACTCCATACCATAAGTTATATAAAGGTAATCGTTGCAAAATTAATGTATTTTCAATGATGGCTTGGAAACTGAATCCATTTCCTGAATCTTCAAATATAGGACTAATTTCACAGTTATATGCACACTCTACGTTCTATTCTTATAGTAGTATCATTTTCTAAAATTCTATATTACATGATATAATTGACCTACAAGCCCCCGTGACCTCCATTACGTAACTACACAGGTATGGCAATGACACTTTTCAATTTTGGGAGGTGTGTAGTGTTGTAGTCTGTGGGGGAAGCACAAAGGCCTGTAGCTAGATTATGCTTAATAATGTACCTTCCAGAGTCCCGATCTCTTCAATGCCATGACCAACAGGGCTCGTAGGTGGGCAAATGGCGTCGTTCCATTCGTCATCCACTCTGAATTCCGTGAGTCAATTGTTTTTCTTCATCTCGACTTTCTGAAAAGCATGACTTCACTACTTGGCCGAATAGCCTTGATTTTCAAAAAGGTTGAAATCGCCGCTTGCATACTTTTGAAATGTATATGGTCTACGCTTATATATGAAGGATCCATTTTTTGTAGTCCTATCGTTTTCTTTCGTTTCTTCATTGATTTCCTGGTAAGAAAGGAAAAACATAGGAATTACCAATTTAAGAATTCATTTTGCTTTAGCTTCTGCGGTACGAACGAGAATCCTGGATGGGATTAATACATTGAACAGACAGACGGCGATCGGAGGACGAGCTTGCCTTAACATCAGACCAAGGACCAATGAGAGAGATTACATTCTCGTACGAAGACTGCAGGGGTTAGTGGTGCTACAATGCATCGTCAATCTGTTTTAACTATTCCGAAATCAGAAATCAGAAAATCCAATGAGCGATTTTCCTGGAATCGCGATGAAAAAAAACGGGACGCCCCACGATAATAATCACGCCACCAACATGACAACTAGGCTACATATATAACACCGGTGATGTGAAATATAGACATAACTATGGTTTGCCAACCTACCCTATGTATACACGCGTTGTTTACGGGTGTGTAGGCGTTAATTACGCCCGTGCAGACGTAAAATGACGCCCGTGCAGACGTAATTTACGCCCATGTAGGCGTTAATTACGCCCGTGTAGCCGTTAATTACGCCCGTTAAGAACTGAATTCTATACGCGTTAAAACACATGTTATTCACATTCACATGTTATTTTCAGTACATCTCTCACATTTGCACAAATAAGGCACCAAGATACCCAGAAAAGAAATAATGTTTCATATGCCATCAATTGCAATAGTTGTTCCTGGCACAATCGTGAGTATCTTATTAACTTGCTCAAGGATTTTGGAGTTGCACTTTTAGTTAGAATGCATTGTATCATTATGTAAGCAAGATGCTGATTGGTTCATAATTCACGGCGCTAAAATAAACTCGACAGGCGTATAGATGTTTCTCAACGCGTGTTAAATAATGTCTTAACTCCCGCTATAGAACATTTTAACGCCATTAGTTTACGCCTGTATTTGTTTTAACGTGTATAGAATTCACTTCTTAACGGGCGTAATTAATGCCAACACGGGCGTAAATTACGTCTGCATGGGCGTAATTTTACGTCTGCACAGACGTAATTAACGCCTACACGCCCGTAAAAAACGTGTGCATACATAGGGTAGGTTGGCAAACCATACATAACATATGTCTCTGACGCTTCCAGATGTTTCTCACGTATTGGCCGAAGTGGAGGTGCCCAGACTCTATCCATCGGACGTGGTTGTGAACGTATTGGGACGGTGATGCACGAGTTTCTCCACGCTCTCGGGTTCTACCACGAGCAGAGTCGCAGTGACAGAGATAACTTTGTCACAATCAACTGGAGCAACATCAGACGAGGTACTACTATTACTTTTCTAGAATGAAAACAAATAGTTCAAGTACTCCGGATTTGATTTTACTACAATATTTTATTTGATGATGATAAATCAATCTTCGTGTCCGTCCAGAAATTGCTATATGTGTAATTAAAGTTACATTTGGAATTATGATTACATGATCCTTACTTTTTTGATAGGAACCGAAGGCAACTTTAGAAAACTTGCCGTTGGACGAATTGACCTCCTGGGTACAAATTACAACTATAACTCGGTGATGCACTATGGTGCGTACGCATTTGCCATTAACAGACGTGTCAGGACCATCGTACCACGTGATTCTAATGCCAATATTGGTCAAAGGACCCGACTTGATGCTTTGGACATCCGTAGGGTTCAGATCTTCTACGAGTGCAACAGATAAATACATAATGTTTATCACAGTTAATATGAATAAATTCAGTCTAATAAACGCATGTTACAAAAATATATTTATCTCCCTCTGTTGTTTGAAGAGCGCGAAAATTCAAAAAAATCAAAGGTCCCAAGTTCTTTCGACAGGTTTTAAATCATGACATGATGATACTGTAAACATTTTCAAACCTTTCACTGGGGCATTACATCGTAACAGGTGAATATGCCAAAATAATGAAGTGCCCTGTCCTGACTGTCCATTCTGAATAGATTTTATCTCGAAAAGAAATGCTGCTAAACCGTGCACATTACTTAGTGTTTGGACTTATTTTGCCGATCATGCGTGACTTGACATTACAAGTATCGGGGGAAACTGCCAGATATCATACTTAGGAGAGCACATTCATGTTTAGATGTTTATATCATCACCGGAAGTGGTGACATATTTCATAGTCTCCAACTTTTTTGTGTTCGGCGGTTGGTGTTTTGCGTTTGGCATTTGCAACAAATGGCAGATAGTGACATCTTGCATTTTAATGCCTTGTATAATTTTTCAAGAGATTTCGGAAGGATTGAAATAATAATATATATAATATAATGTAAATAATGTTTTTGCAGGACTTTTATTGCGTGCGTGCATCCTGGTATATATTGTGTTGAAAATGGCTGAAAAATAAAAGAGGAATCAACTTGCAGAAAATTACATTTTAAAACTAAGTTCTTTTTATTGAAACCAATCAAGTCAAGATGTATACTATTGGATGGTAATTTTTTTTTTAATTTTGCAAGAGGCCTCTTCGTTCATTTTAAGTTCATGGTAAGTGTGAAATTCGGCTTTGAAAACCATGGTGTCGCCATTATCGGATTTAAAAATCCGTGATACATATATGTGATATAGCATCATCACCAGTTCTAAACAGTTCAGGCTAGGCGATTGGGCGCCGTAACCACGAGGTTGCGAGTTCGAGACGCGTGTGCTCCTTGTGTTTATTCATTCAAAATAAAACTCTTTCCTTATATATGGAATTGCAGATGATGAGAAAAAGCTCAAGTGCTAAGATTTCACCACAACTACATAGGCCTAATCATGTATGGGTGTTCATCTTTTATTATTCTTTTCTAATTTTTTTCTTTGGTGTTGAAATGTTGAATGAAGTTATTCATTGAACCAGTAGATGAACCAAGAGTACCATGGCTCCTGCACATCATTGGACAAAATATAAGACGCATCATTTGCTTCACAACCTATAGCTAAACGTGATGATTCACCATCTTGTGTATCCTGAGTGACCACCAAGCTTCTATTGATCGTTTTATCTGTCATTTCGATGGCACGTGTCAAATCCTTCTGAATAGTTGCACCCTGCAGATATAAGGCAAGTTCCCGAGCTGAAAAATTCACATTTTACATAAGAACATGTAACTGTTATAAAATAGTTTTTTTTTTCTAATTTTCAATATAAATCGAATTCGAAACATGTCGAATGTACTTCAGTGTCAACAATTGGCACCATATTATTTACATTAAGGGAGTTGACGATGAGTAAGTGATGAGTGCCTAGAGCTTCTCATGCAACTCACCTGAAACGTTTTGAATGCTATTGTCACCTATATGCACCATGCCATCTACATTATTGAAATTGTACGTGTTATGTATATGCTGGTGGGTGACTACAACTCCACGGTGTGTTTCTTCATCGGGGTTGGTCTGTCGCTCAAGTATATTTTCATCACCTAAAACGGATAATCTACATACTTTGAAATATCATTTTTGTTTCTACTTTTTTTAAGGAGATACGCGTGTTTTTAACAACGGATGGTCCAAACTTTTTGATATCAAGATCTATCTTTAAAGAAATTGTCTTTCAAAAGGACCCCAACGTTCTCTGCCGTTAGTGTTAATAACCTACCATTCATATATGCGACTATTAAATCCACGAGGTGGGGGTTGTTAGACTCGAATGTTGGAAGCCATTTCAAATAGCTAGGCACTTCTCTTATTCCACTACGGACCGCTATTACTTTGAATTCACCATTGGAGTTGATCATTTCTTGGACTCCTTGCTGCGCCTCATATTTGCACCAATTACTAACTTCAAAATTTTCAGTTAGAATCAGTATCATTCCCTTTGATTTCCTTATTGCCATTTGGATATTACTAATCACGGTTACCCCGGGTATATAGTCTCTTTCGTGTAACATAGTTCGAAAGGAAAATGCCTCCATCTGGGCACTGAAATTCCTTGCGAATGTTCGATCCTTTGAAGCACTGACTAAGAAAACGTGCCAGTTTTTGCCATTGGGAAGTATGGGAAGCATTCCCTCTTGTACTTGTTCATTTAAATCATTTCTAGAATCCATTATTAAACTTGCTGAAATCAAAAGTTATATTGCTTTTGATTATAACATGAGAAAATGAGTCCCAATTTGATTTAAATGTGTTCAATTGTACATACATGTACCTATCCCTTACATTAGGCTTTATCAAATATAAAACGAAAGTAAAATACGAATCTATTCAGTAGTTTTCTATGCTTCGACATTTATTGTTTATTTGAACACTTACGTGCTACACGTCTTAACCGCAATAAATATATAGGCAGTATATGTACAGATGTCCAGTATTATATTATTTTCTCAATAAGAATGCAACTTCCAGGTATAAATCTAACGAAAATTAAAGTAGCGTTAAATGGTTTCAAGTTGATGTATTTTTATTTGAATATATGTCAAGTATCTTAAGTGCAAATATCTTCATCAATCTCATACCCCTTCATCGAAAAGTTGTTGAAGCTTAGACGTATATTTCAATCAACATAATATTCTCATGTCTGTTTTTGCACCTAACAATAAGGATATATTTTGCCTTAATGTTAAATCATATATCAGGCATTTTGGAGGTACATAGGTGAAAAGAATTCACATTGACGTCAACAATTACATGTGAACCAATCATTCCTTTTCACAAACAAAACCTAAGTGCTACTCGTCATTCCAATTTTATAGAAAATCAGTGATTACATGAAAATCTTTCTTTTCTGATTCGAAATTGTGTTCAGAATCAAATGATAGCCATTGCAGTTTGATATGCCATATAATATTTATTTGAGATTTGTATATCGTTACACCCTTGATAAAGTATATGATCCAAAAATAGTAACATCGTAGAATGAGTCATATCATATGTGATATGGTGAAACCGTCAACTGGTGCTTCTTTTATCATATTTACAACACTGAATTCTAACCAAAGTAACATTTTGTCTGAATAGAAACATTAAAACTAACACAAACATTATCTATGTACAAAACACCTAATAAATTAACTCTTGTCACATACGCTATATGTTGGAATAAATATATACAGGATTAAAGGGACTTAGTCTTTCTTCACACATTTGGAATGCTAAATCCTTTGTAACGTTAGTGATTACAAAACTTAAGCCCGGTATACACCAATGGAGCAAAATCCCACTTGCCCCATTGGTGTATACCTGGCTTTACAATCGCAAAATCAAAACTATACAATTTGTGATTATCGTCAAAAAGAAACAACATTCAGTCTCCTCTAATATTATAATAGACTTGTGTGCGACGCCTTTTAACACTGTTTATTTGCTTCAACAGATTTATATTCCTTTGCTTGTAAACGTTGACTACTCATTTTATTTTTTGTTCAGCCAAGCAAGGCCCTTGTATCACCTTTCATCGCCTTTAGTCATATTATATCAACTAGACTTGAACACTTTTCAGGCTTTTACCCCGACAGTCATGTTGCGTCTACTCGCTCTTCAACTACGTGATTTCAGAGTCCTCGTACTCATCTTCTCCTCAACTCTAGAGATTCACTATGCTAGAGTTTGCATCGTATCACTTTTCCCCCTGTGTTTTTGGCGTGCTTGGTCCCTTGATTCTATTTTTCTCTGCTTCTGTAAGATCCTTTGGAATGATTTGTGATTGTTTCTCCCTGTTTTATCTATGTTCAAGGAGCTTTGTTTTCTTATGGGTATGGTAGGGTACGTCCCAAAGTTCTACCTATCCGTTTTCTAGAGACCCATGTCCTCTCATAAAATTCAAGGCAAAATTCATACGAACTATTACGAACTATTAATTGTGTGTTACTTGTAACACTGAAGGTCCCAAGAAGTTTGAAACTTTTAATATTCCCGCAAAATTCAACATTTATGTGCCACGCCTCCTTTTGAAGAGGTCAAATTGCTTCGCGGAGTAGTATAGAGGTCAACTATTATGGGATGGTAATGGTGGGCGCGTGATTTTGAACAAATAGATGATGCCTAGTCAGAATAATGGTGAGTTTTCTGCTGAATTAAGATGTAAATCAATAAATGCAATCTATGATAAATCGAATGACACTCATATATTTGTACAAAGTTGTTCATATTTGCCTAGAAGACGTAAATAACACAATATCGCTCGATTCGTGACGTCGATATTTTTCGAGATCCAGCAACTGCATCGAAAATTGAAAATTATTTTCTTTTCGCAAATCCTTCCCGAAAGCCATCAGACAACTAAAAGTATGCTATTGATATGTTCTAGTGGTTTTCTTAATGTATGTAGAATTTGGCATCAGTTGATAGCATCACTAGTCAGTTATTTGCATTCAAAAATATTGTGAAATCTAGTTTGAATTTCCCTGGTTCTGTTCCTTGCAAATGGCGGGCCATTTGATATTTTTATAATGGAATTTGAATTGCACATTTACCGCTCATTCTGGGTACTCAGACTCTCAGTTAACTAAATATTTTAGAGCAAGGTATGGTTGAATTTATTTGTTTTGACTGCCCTTGCTATAGTAATACACCATTTGGGAATTCTTGAGGATTTGATACAACTTTTTGATATATTTTTCATCCATTTTTGTCCTTGAATTTGGATTATCATTGATTTTGGTATTGCAGTAAATTACAAACTTGAAAACAGACATAGGGCTTATCTGTCACATAATTGAGGTATAAATAGCATGGTTAACACTCTTCTTCAACATTTTTTACAACAAATTACAACTCCTTGGCAATGTTTTTACTTCATGGTTACATTACGACTAAAAGCCATTCCGAAACTTCATGTAATTTTTGGATTATGCTCTGATGTTTTTATGAATAAGAGGCACATTGGCTAAGATTTAAAAGTATTTGAATGTTATCGAAAAAGTTTCAACAAACTAGTCAAAACCAATAGTGAAAAAAAGATTTAAATTTCCCGCTATAACTTTGTGACGTCTACTCTAGGTAACAGATAAACAGGAACTAAATTAAGCATTACAGAATTTCTGGACAGCATATCCCAAATGGATAGAAATCATGTTGTCAACATTAAAAACGTTTATGCATATAACTGCAAAAACTTTTAAAAATGCAGCAATCAAAATCTACACTTTCCTGATTATGTCGTTTTGGTAGTAGTAGTGTAGGCATTGCTTGTAACTATGTCACATGATTTCTGACTGTGTGTCAAAGATGAGAGATCTGATTCCAACAATAATTTCACAAAATCTTTTGTACAACTTAGGATGTCAAAAGAACTCAACATAGAATTTCTATGTGTGTTGACTAATTTGCAATGTACACAAATGTTCCTGCACTATAAAATGCATTGATATTCTTGATAAATTGCCTATAACATATAATATTGTCTATTTGTTAATTTATAGGTATTGGAGTAACAACATCAGAAATGACAAACACAAACCAAAACAGTACGACTGAGCTGACACGTCGTTTAACAGCCCCTTCTCTTAATACATCACCAGAGTTATCTCAGACCCAGTTGTTAGTACAGGACCTTGAGGCTCTCACCTCTATGCATGTAGAAATAGACAAACTACAACAAGTCTCGACAGGACAAGATGTGTTCACATTGGCTAATTCTCAAGACAGTAACGTTATGGTTGAGAAAGTGAATACAACAACAAACCAGGGGCTCAGTCTAGCCTCAAATCAACTTGGAAATCAAACTATTTTAACATCAGCTAAGCCAGTACAAAATACAGATGTGACAAAGAAACATTTCGAGTTGAGTGGGAGTTCCCAGGAGGGACAGCAATTAGCAAAATTTATTTTAAAACCTGGCACTGGGTCAGAACCGACTCAGATGATCCCCATACAAACTTTGACATCATCTCTCAGTCAGTCGGGTTTAGATAATGAATCCAATCAGCTTGGAAACAGAACTATACAGATGCTTTCACCTACAAAGTTAGTGTCTGGGTCACCGGCAAAACAGTTTGTTACAATGGGGAATAGATTTCCATCCCCAAATAAGACTCCTACAAAAATTACCATGATACCAGTGTCATTAGGCAAATCACCAACACGGATTGCCCCTGCACCCTCAGGAAATATGGTTGCTATGGTAGCCAAGCCTGGTGTTGGGGGTAACACTTATGGAGCATCTTCTAAAGGACAAACCATAACCATGTCTCCTTCCAAAGTTATCATAAAAAGCCAAACTAATGTAAGTATATGATGTCTAATGTAGATTTTGCTTGTAATTTTAAACTTTGGTGAATTACTTACATCAATTTCTCTTTACCTTGGTATGGTTCCGCTACCTCTGTTTCATTCTCTTTCTTCGACCATATTTTCTTTCACACTTCATCCCTTACACTTGTTTCCCAGACCCTCTCAATGTTTTAAATTTTTCACCTATCACATTTTTGCATTTCCCAGTATCGCACCTTCCTTTCATTTTTTCCATCTTATATTGGTGAGGATTTTGTTTCTGATTCAGTTGAATTTACTCTTAGTTCATCTACTCAATGAAATCTACAGCTAAAGAACCTTTGTAAAATGATATTTTTCAATATATATATACATATATATAGCTACAGCAACAGCAACAGCAGACCCAACATGTAGTTGCCAAGCAGATTAGTCAACCCCAACAAGTCCAACTGGCAGGCCAGAACAAACAGATGTCCATAGCTGTAACCAACCCCAATGTTCAACAGATTCAAGTGCCAGGCAGCAAGTTCCATTATGTCAGACTGGTGACGGCTCCTAATACACAGGGCAGTACCACAGGTAGGCATCCTGATTTTGTACTTTTTGTATAGAAGAGTGAAGCACAAAACGTGTTGTCCCCTTTACTAGGTTATGCTCAGTTATTAAAAAGTTACTGTGTTATATTTGACTCACACTAAATTTCAGAATCTGATAGTTTTACTGATAAAATTATTATATGGCATCATGAATCACCTGATCAATATATCCTGTCTTCTTAGGGTTTATTTGAAAGATCAATTGACCTATATTCTGTAATGTGACTCTAATTTACACTATTATTTTTCTGTAGTATCGCGACCAGCTTCGATAGCTCCAGCCACCCAGGCCAAACCAATAGCTCCTGCTTCCCAGGCAGGACAGATGAAGATTACTGTGCCTGTCTCTCAAATGCAACAGGTAATGTTACAGCTAATTCATTTTAGTATCCATCTTCACAATACATTTTAAGACGTGTGTGAGCAACATATGTGGTTATATTAGTAAAAATGTGTAAATTGTATCAAAATATATTTGACCAATTAATAAAAACAGCTTTTTGTTCAGTATAAAATAGCATTTGTATCAGCACGCTGTTGATTGAGTCAGCTGAGTAGGTCATAACAGTTCAAGCAAAATTATTGTTGCATTTCAGATATTACGGCCTGCAGTAGGCCAGAGAGTATTACTTCCTGCCTCCTCCCAAATACAGATCCGACCTACGACCTCAATGCCTGTTCAAACTCTCCCTCAAATCCGGCCGAACATCCCTGGATCAACGAACGCAGTAGCAGGACTTCCCCCAGGGGCAACTCTTATCTCGGGGGGTAACAATATGCAAGGCTTTGCACTTGTCCCTGCACAGTATGTTAACCAGGTAAGGGTTTATTTTGTAGTAAATCTTACTGTTTATATGTGTCCATTGATGTGTCAAAAGAATTGTGACTATTTGTCACAGGGTTTGAATACACTGTAAGAAAAGAGAAAGTGTCTGGTATTTTGTCAAGATGACCTTTGATTTTTGTCAAGATGACCTTTGATTTTGTCAAGATGACCTTTGATCTCCAATGACCTTAACAGAAAGTCTAAATTGTAAAGCTCTCATTTGCTCAGCAATATGTAGTCTATAATTTTATTTCATATATATGGAGGATGTCCTTGTTGAGCTATGGAATAGCACGAAGTATTGGCAAATTCCTGAACACAATTGATTTTTGTGAAAGTGCCATGTGGGTAAATTATTAATTGTTGCATCGCACATTGTTGGATCTCACATTGTTTTCGTATACATCCAACAAATTACAGAGTTGGCTAGAAACATTGTAGGTTGACTCAATTATAAATTGAGTGAACATTTTTCACTTTTCTGCTTTTCTGACTTCTCTGGTTTAGATCCTGTACAACACTAGCAAAAACTGTTTCATTTGATGATGCTAAATGTAGTCTGAAAGTAGTTCTGCTGGACATCTGTAACTTTTTCATTTACTTTTTTACTTTTTCATTTTAAGCTTCAATTCGGTGTTCACTGATGCATTTTGTATTCTAGGGTCACGGAGACTGGAATGAGGTGAGGTGTTCTCCCAAAAAACCTCTTGTTGTGATGCTTCAGTGTTAGTCATTGCGTTGAATGTTTATTTTACTAACAAATGAATAGTAACCTTGCTATAAGCCACGTCATCTACAATGGTTGAAAAAAATGGTATCAGTAATATATGATGCATTTTTCACATGATTTTAAAATGAGCACACATGTACTTTGCCTTACAACTCACCACACAAATGTAACATGATTTTCAATGACCATCAGCAGATTGTGAATCAGTTTGATTTAGTTGAATTTGCTAGCATGTTATGTTTGCCCATGTTTACTTCGTAAATTGTTTGTGTTAAAATCCCCCAACTTTGTGTTTAATTGTTACAAATCAAAAGACCAATACATTGTATTTGCAGTCTTAATATTCTTGTTAAATGACAGGTATACAATAAGAGCTATACAATATACAGAATGTTTTTGACCATCCTTAAAACTTTGTGTGTTTCCTCCAAACATTCCCCCTTTTACTTGTCAAAACTGCACATGCCAAATATTGTTTACCTTCATGATTTATTCGAACATTTTATATTTCGAACAAAATATAGTGTGCACCACACCAGGGGCCTTGCAGTAATGACAATTTACTTTAATAGTAACATTTCTTTTTTGTAAGGTTTTTCTCTGTGCATAACGTTTGAGGTCATGTGATATTAATGTGAATTAAGTTCTTTTAGCCCTTTGTGTAGTCTCATTTAAAGCAAAACCCTTTCACAAAGTTTCATTGATAAGGTTTTGTAAATACTCAATCTTTTTCACAAGACTTCAATATAAATTGTGTGCTTTGATATTTCAGTTGCAGAATCAGATTAGCAAGTCTCAAGCTCCAAAGGCGGACAGCAACTTTATCCCTATTACATCAAATGAAACTGCGACATCAGCCTCTGCCAGGCAAAACATCAATGGGTAAGTACTTATACCAAACAAACAACAGACAGCTTATTTTATATAAATCTACATTTTCTATATTTTACACGAATCTATATACATTTGCAACACTTATATTTTATGTGTGATCAGAGAAATTGTTTTGATTCATCAGTGATTCATTCCAGGGGAATTTTGGGACTGGGGCCACATCTTTTTTCTCACCGACCCTGCTGACTTCTTCTTATTTTTTTTTTACGAGAAAAAAAAGTGTTTTCTCTTGATGAAATACATAAGAACAATTAAATTAGTGTATCGGTTTAAATATATTGTTTTACTGTTTCAAGTTGATGTCTGTATTGTTTAAAACATTTGAAGACTGATTCTACCTTTATTTCATGTTATATCTTGTGCAGATATTCATGTTGGCCTGACAGTGGTAATAAATCAATTTAAGTATGTTCTTCCATTGTGTTATCAAATGTCACTTTAATCTAAAGATGTGGCTCACATATGGTAAATTAAATGTTTACCGTATATGTTAGTGTGATTAATATAGAAAATGTTTCAGGGACCCTAGTGGGACACGACCGAGGAAACCCTGCAACTGTACAAAATCACAGTGTCTCAAACTGTAAGTAGTTATTTGTGACATACTTTTACAATTATATACTGTAGGAGCCTACTTAATTTCTCTGAAATTATAGAATGAATAACACATGCAAAATCAAATTTAATTAGTCAAATTTAAACTAGAAGCTAGAAGAATATTCTATATATTTTAATTATTTGTTTTTTATTATATTAAAAATATTGCTGTTTTCTTACAGGTACTGTGATTGTTTTGCCAATGGGGAGTTCTGCCACAACTGTAACTGTAATAACTGTGCTAACAACTTGGACCATGAGACTGAGAGGCAAAAGGCTGTCAAACAATGCCTTGATAGGAACCCACAAGCCTTTCATCCTAAAATTGGTAAGGACAGGGTGTGCAAAAAAATTGTGCAACTTTTTTAAATGGCGAGAAAAGTATCAAAACATCAAGGTATTGCCATAAAAATTATTTACAGAAACTTAAGGATAGGCATATTTTGCCATTTAAATATTAAAGCTAAACTGGACTCCAAATCTTTTTGTCAGATCTTTGAATATCAATGGTCTATTGTTCATGTGTTGAATGATAGGAATTCAGTGCTAGTCTGCATCCGATGAACCTAAAAATATGTTTGAAACAATCCACTTTATCAGTGTAATATTATATCATGTTGATATTCAAGTTGTGAATTTTAAAATAGACTAATACAATTACTCACTGATTGCATCCAGTAAACCTTAAAAATGTATTAAAACAATATAATCAATGTCATATAATATCATATTTCAAAAAGAACAAACGAATGCAATTAGTCACTGATTGGTCGTTTGATTTGAATTTTGATTGTCCATCTTATTGTAGTGAGTTCCAGATAATATCTATGAGAAATGTCTTATTTATCTTCACCACTAGTTGATATAATTTTATCCGTTCTTGTTTACATTTTCTTCACCCTGCAAATATTATTCTCATTCAAGTGGCTGATAATGCTACTGCAAAGCCACTACAATTTTTTGAGTCTTTATTATGTAAAGTGAAATAAATGCTATGAATAAATAATAAAAAAATCATGTTGCAGGTAAAGACCGTGATGTTGGGTCAAGGCGGCATCAGAAAGGCTGCAACTGCAAGCGATCTGGCTGCCTGAAAAACTACTGTGAATGTTATGAGGTAGGGACATAATAATTTATTATCTCACCACAAGTGGTCACATGATATTTTTATTTTTTATATCTTGGTTACCGCTATTTTTGGTGAGCAATACCACATTGGTATATTCCGTATTTTACACTTGAAGACAGAGCCAGAAACCCCTCCTTGGAGGAGCCCTGTGTTCTTTTGTGTGCACAGGTACACAGACATACAGGTACACACCACAGCCTTTTATACAAGTCGTGAACCACTCAGTCAAACACCCAGAATTACATAACGCACAAACAAACTCGTCTGAACCAGGAATCGAACCCGGGGCCAAGCGATATTGGTAACCTTGACTCTGCCACTGAGCCACAGCGGGTGGACATGATGTTATAGTCTCCAACTTTTTTGGAGACTTAATTCTGTTTGATCTAAGACTAAGAGGGCTCAGTTATTTTTACTACTGACCTTGTAATGTATTTGTGCAGCCAACACTTCAAAATGCAATATTTTCGAATTCATTGATTTTACTACCAGTCAAAGATCTTGTGCGGTCAACACTTCAAAATGCAATATCTTCATATTAATGTATTTTACTATCAGTCAAAGATCTTGTGCAGTCAACACTATTCCCAAAGTGCAATAATCTCAAATTAATGTATTTTACCCTGAGGCAAAGATCTTATTCAGCCAACACTGTTCAAAATGCAGTAGTTTCAAATGAATGAATTTTACCCTGAGGCAAAGATCTTATTCAGCCAACACTGTTCAAAATGCAGTAGTTTCAAATGAATGAATTTTACCTTCAGGCAAAGATCTTGTTCAGCCAACACTGTTCAAAATGCAGTAGTTTCAAATGAATGAATTTTACCCTGAGGCAAAGATTTTATTCAGCCAACACTGTTCAAAATGCAGTAGTTTCAAATGAATGAATTTTACCTTCAGGCAAAGATCTTGTTCAGCCAACACTGTTCAAAATGCAGTAGTTTCAAATGAATGAATTTTACCTTCAGGCAAAGATCTTATTCAGCCAACACTGTTCAAAATGTAGTAGTTTCAAATGAATGAATTTTACCCTGAGGCAAAGATCTTATTCAGCCAACACTGTTCAAAATGCAGTAGTTTCAAATGAATGAATTTTACCCTGAGGCAATGATCTTATTCAGCCAACACTGTTCAAAATGCAGTAGTTTCAAATGAATGAATTTTACCTTCAGGCAAAGATCTTATTCAGCCAACACTGTTCAAAATGCAGTAGTTTCAAATGAATGTATTTAACTTTCAGGCGAAGATCTTGTGCAGCCAACATTGTAAATGTGTGGGTTGTAAAAACTTTGAGGAGAGTCCAGACAGGAAAACACTAATGCACTTAGCAGATGCTGCAGAGGTCAGAGTTCAACAACAGACAGCAGCCAAGACCAAGCTATCCTCTCAAATTGATGACCTACCTGTCAGGCCAGTAGCTGGAGGGGAAAGGTTAGTACTTGTACAGTAAAACCTGTCTAATCCGAATGCCTCTGACATTGAGAGGTGTTTGAATAAGTGAGGCATTTAGATATACAGGTTTCACTGTACCAAAATGGTATTCTTACCATTAGGAAAAAGTCAGGGAAAAACTAAATGACTCGAGATTTTAATCCATGAAAGATTTACATTAACTCATTGAAAGTAGAAATAAGATTTATCTGAAAAAAGTTTAAACACAAGATATGCTTAATGTTTTGTAATCTGGTATGTGTACAAATAATTTGTTTTAGGTTACCATATTCCTTTGTGACAACAGAAGTTGCTGAGGCGACATGTTCATGTCTCCTTGCACAGGCAGAGGAAGCAGAGAGGATACGATACAGAGACTTGATGCAAGAACGGATGATCCTAGAAGAGTTTGGAAGATGTCTTGTACAAATTATAGAATCTGCAAACAAAACCAAATGTGAGTAAAGTAAGTAGTTAAGTTGTTTGCAGTTATTTCTACTTTTAGTTTAGTTTGTTTTATTTATTATCCCATCGAACCAAGTTTGGAGGGATATAGGGAATGCCTCCATCCGTCCGTACGTCCGCACGTACGTCCGTCCGTCTGTCCAGGCAATAACTCAAATACCGTTGGCCCGATTTTGTTCATATTTTGTACACATATACCATATAGGGGTAGAAGTTCTGCTCGAAAGCCGATTTTCAAAATGGCTGTAACTCGAAAAGTAGTCTAGTGACTTTGTTCATATTTGGTTTGTGAATACTATAAGCATGGCACACTGTCTAATGACACTTTTGGTAGAAGGCGGGCATTTTTCAAAATGGCGACCATTTTAACATATTTTACTATAACTCGAAAAGTAGTGGAGCGATTTTGTTCATATTTGGTATGTGAATACTATAAGCATGGCACACTGTCTAATGGCACTTTTGGTACAAGGCGGCCATTTTGAAAAATGGCTGCCATTTTTGCTATATACTTTGTAAAAATGCCAGCCATGGCTGTTCGATGGGATTTGCTATGCTTTGGCGTTGCTGCTGTCTAGTTTTACACAAGCTGCTTTATACTTTGCGAAATACTGTAAAGATGAACACAAATTGTGTAAGAATTTCTTTCACTTCACTGCCGAATTATTTGGTCCGTACTCCTGCATTGAGTGGTCCTATTTTGGTTTTGTAATGTAGTGTTTTGCCTAGGTTTTTGTGCTGTGCTATGTTGTGTCATTGTTGTGCCATGTCATTTTGTGTTGTGATTGTAATCTGACATTAGAACTGAAAATACAACAAGATAAGCAGATCTAGTTTAACATATTCAACTCAAATTTAAAAATGCTTGAGAAAATACAAACCATCACAAACCCTTCCTGTAGATGTGTTATGTCAACACTCTTAACATGATGGTGATTGCTTACATGGTAACATTGCTAACCCCCCTATCACACCAAACTCGTTCTTACCCGTTCTTGCCAGTCCTACGAAAACTTCGTAAAACGGGCTCAATCTGGCTGTGGTCGGGAAATATGTCTGAAATAATTAGCTTCTTCGTTCTTAAACAGTCTTCAATACGTCCTTCTCATTCGCAGTTCGTTCAGGTCGCACCACGTCGGTGTGCAACGTAGTAGAACGCGTCCCTTAGTGTAGAAGGTCAACATGACCTGATTAAAGAACGTTATGGTCGCCATCGAATTTTGAATCGATTCAAAATTCTAAAATCACATTCCCGTCTGAGAACGATCATAAAGTTCGTAAATAGACCTTAGAAAGTTGCAGCTACGTTCATTCCGTTCGCACACAGTTTTGAAGAACGCAGTGGCAACTTGTTTGGTGTGATAGCTATATTTTTGCTAACTCGTTCATAAGCAGTGTTAAATACATTCTCAATCAGTTTAAACCAGTTTGCAATTAGTTCTACCTCGTTCTCAACACGTCCTCAGACAATTCAACTCGTTGTTTAAACGTCCGTAGTAGGATTGAAGTACGACGGTTCCGTTCGTAGTACGTCCAGCTCGTCGTTAGTACGTTGTCACTCGTTCTAATTGTAGAACGTGACGACCACGAGAACATTTTGAGCATTGTCTAAGTTCTAGAGGACCTACCCGTTCGAGTACGTTCGATGAAGTTTGTTAATAGATCCCAAACGGTTCTTAGTAGGTCCAGTCCGTTCGTACACAATTGAAGCCCGTTTTTGAGAACGTAGTGAGAACTAGTTTGGTGTGATAGTAGGGTAATATAGCAGCATAACAACAAAGATATCATACAAGTATTAGTAGTTGTTTCACTCATTTGAAGAAAAGCTTAATATTGTTTTGTGAAAGTATTCTCATATAGTCTTGTGTCTCGTTTTGCATGTTCATGTCTTGTTTACTTTTATGATAGCATCCACCAGCTCACTTAAATGAGGGAAACAAATTGTAGGTGGTGACATTTTGCATGTTAAACCTGTGTGTAAATATCTACGTTCATTAAATATGGTTTGTGTTTTCAGCTCCACCTTCATCTCCAGAAATAGATGTATCATAGTAGGCCTTCTATATGGCTCTACAGCTATCAACTTGGTCTGTGGATGGACACTGTAGACTTGCATCATGAACTTCAGCTTGGTTGGATATCGATACTTACTACTACTATTACACCAACGTCACTTGTTTCACATAACCACATCAGGGTCGATTGCTTCACATGGCTGTTCACCAACTTCAGATGAACTCTTGGTTTCAAGTACACAAACATAACACATAGACGGATACCTTGTATGTCATACACTGTTACCATGGTAACTATACAACATAAGACACATAATGGAAACCAGGTAGTACAATTGTATCATGTGAAATGTGAGAATGAACATTCACATTGACAAAGTTGTCAAAGCGCGCCAGTGCTGAGATCTAACCATATATGGTAAACATGAGATTTAGCTAAAATATAAAATGAGCTCCCATTGGTTACAATACCATGGAAACCAGAGATATATTTATAAGTAATAAGACATTATGGACGATACACATTGAATCAGTATTCTCTGTCAGACTCAAATCTTACATGTACCATGTATATAAGTGAATAATAGTTTACAGCATTGTACTCAATCACAATCAATGTTTCAAGAATGCATTTCAGTTTTTTAGATGAATTATAATAAGTGTACCAATGTGTTCAACAGTACATCATGTATTTAAATGTATGCCAAGTACATTAAAAGTATTGATCTTTGCAAGATATCAGATCTGCCTTGTTTACAAAAATAGGGCTTCCTTACATGAATAAGGCCTGGCATCAAATACACACAGTTACAATTCCCCCTTGAGTTTTTCTCTGGAAAATGCAAATTTTTCTTAATTTAAATCAAGCCTGGAATGTCTAAATTGTTTGAATTTCTCCCAGTTTTTATGATTTTCTAAATGCTGAGCTGAACTGAAGATGTACTTTTTGCTCAGATTTCTTAATAATTTGACATATACTGAATACTGATGCATATAACTGAAGTGATATTGTAGAATAGAAATGTGAAATTATATATCAGTGTATTAATAAAGCATCCCACTTATTGATAATTTTGTAGTATGTATGTGCCTCTAAATATCAGCCAAATTTTGATGATTCTTGATATTAGGCATTAGTCATGTCCTGATGCCTACAAATCTGATTAATTCAACGTCAGCCATGTCCTGACATTTGCAATTGTAAAAATGGGAATGAATTATATCTATTACTAATATATAAATGATTGATATATGTAAATGAAATGGTTGTATATATTTGTATATAAAAAGAGTGTAGTGTGAACAGAGAAGTCTTAAATAGGTTGGTTATCTGTATAGTAATATAATATAAACGACTAAATATTATTTTAACCTCAAGCAAGATTTTAGAACATTTTGTATGAGATTTGATTTTGAAGATTTCTATTGTGTTAATTAGATCATTTGTAAAGTAATTGTAAATATATATGCACTGTTGAAGTCTTTGTCAGGTCTCGCTGCTTCATAGTGCTTTACTGTTCAAATGAAATCTGTTAAATTGAGTACAAAGAGTAAGCTTTTGTATTTTATTTTGTATTGAGATTTTATGTTAAAATTCTATGCTTTTTCTTGCGCAGTCTGAAGTTTTCAAACTATTGTGGTTGTGCTGTGTTTCGTGAATGTCTTCCACTCAGGCTGGGGTAATTAAATTCAATGTTTTTTCTTTGGTAGAGCGGTGGTTTATTATATATAATATTCTTCAAAGTTGTGCTAATTGTCTTGTCAATGAAACATATATTTTCGTTAAAAAAATTTTAATACTAGAATTATGGTCCCATGGAGATTTTTAGGTGATTTAGAATTTTAAAGGGAGGATATGCCAAACATTTTATTTATTTTCCCCAGCCTTGATAATGCACTCTGTATTCTCTGGCTCAATTTAACATGAACATTGCAGAGGGGAGAGGGGGGACTGCAATGTGAATTTCAATTTAAGGGAGATGAGAAGCTATGTGACATAGTCATATAGGGGGTGTATTCACCAACACATGATGTGTAGTTTGTCCTCCTACCTCAGCACAATCAACTTAAAATTTAATGTATCACCTCAAAATGTTCAATATTGTTGAGACTTGTAATTTTCTACAATAAAGTGTATAGACTGGATCTATCATGTTATAACTTGTAACCAGCTAGAATTTAAAAATGCAGACCCACCTAAAGGTTAATTCTAAACTGTATTTTTAGACTGTAGCTTTAAGACATTCTGTCATTGTTGTTAAATATCTCAGACATTTCGTTATTGTTTCATTTCAAAATTTTGGTAAAATGATTATCCTTGGTGATGGAGTAGGAGAATATGCATCTGTATTGAAATAGGTGGCTATTTGTAATAAAATAATAAATTATATATACAATATAAGTATTGTTTTTATGTGCAGGTGGTTCGACTCTGGCCTCTGGACTCTGTCCTTGATTTTTAATCACTGAGTATTTCTTAATTAAAATATCAGTGTTGTGTCAGAGTATTTTTGAATTAAAATATCAGTGTTGTGTCAATCTTGTTAAAATATATTTACTCCCTCCTTTCTTTAATCGTTGTCTTACAAGGATTGAAGAGTTGCAGTTGCTGCTGCCCTGGTGTCCTCAAATACAGGACATTCTTTTACCTGCTTTAATTTGAGGCACTGGCGGATCTGGGGGTGGGCCCAGAAAAAAAACAGGGGCTAAAAAAACCAAAAAGTGGGCCTTTTTGGTCATTACTGGGCCTTTTAAGGCCTTATATTTTAATTTCAGGCCAAATTTTGAAGAAAATGGGCCTCAAAATTTGGGCCCACTTTTGGGTTTCAGGGACCCAAAATTTTTCCTTTAAGGGACTCAAAAGTAGACTGTTAATAAGATACCAATAGTAAATATCACTTTGCACTTTATGGAAGAGCTCCACCAGCAGAGTCATGGTAAAAAAGCATGTTTCATTTTGAATTCAGTGGATAAAGGCTGCACTGTATGGGTCTAACATACTTATATTCTTGAAACTGCATAAATTCAGAAAAACCTACTACACTATCTTTTTATAGTGCTAGAGCATTCAAAGATATTTTGTTAGCAAACCTTTTTGATGACACGAGCACCGGTATTTCCTATCACGAAATAAGTTATTTCTTGATTCTTGATGTTATTTGGTAAAACAGCTTTTCCAAAGCATCAGCTATGCAGCTTTTCAATTTTTGCTGCCATTACAGAGTATTAAACATGCGCTCCGAGTAATTGCATTTACTGGGGCAACAAACCCATCATTATGATTGATGGTTTTAACGATCGACTTTTGTGCTTCACCCCATACGTTATTGGAGCACGTAATGTGTTTGATGACAATCCGCACCCTTTCAACTTAAACCCTCCCCCAAGGGGGGGGTATGTGTTGTGTACGAGGTTTGGTGACCTTAGTTTACATGTTAACTGTCTAATGACATGTATAACTCATATAGATGTCACATGTTTAATTTCATCCCATAAAATATAAACCAGAGTTTGTAAAATATAAAAGTTGTATATATTTATAGTATTTTGCATACACGCTTTACTAGACTAATTATGAAAGTACCTCACGATCTGAGAGGACAGATATGTTCATCTTATTTTCAATAAATGATAATAATTTTCAAAAAATTGATTCTTGTATCAAAGAGCAAAAGTCTTTTCTGGGTCACCGCGAATGGCATGATTTCCTCGAGTCTCTTCAGTTGCATGGCAACCATACTGGGACCGATTCGTATCGTTCCACTACTGCCCTTGGTGGGGGCCCGCTATCATACTGTATGACTTCCGGAGTCTACCAAAGCACATTAGTGGAGGAACCAACCACAGTCTCACAATCTGTCTCCAGGCAGAGAACCTAGAGAACCAACCCATGCCAAGGGCCGGTGCACGGTTGGACCTTCGGACCGGGTGTCCGTAGTGACAATGATCAACAACTCCGTACCTGGGACTCGAACGCGGGACCTCCGTATCCCCTCGGTACATTCGACCACAGTAGTCTCTTCGCCACGAGGCTATTCTGCTCAGGTGTCAAAACTGCTCAAAAACGTAATACTTGTTTTAATATTTTGCTTGGATGAACACGATGTGCTTATAATAATTCTATTTTCTAAATCACTTGTATTTTGCATTCAAATGACTAATTATAAACAACTCCAACAATCGCGCGCTTGCAAACACCTCGTAATTGGCTATTTCGTGTAAGTATGTTTTCCGAGAGATCGTAAGAATGAGATATTAGTAAAGACTCTTTCGTATTCAGTACAGACTCCGTGGAGCAAATCTACGTACGGCCGTTAGATAACATTAACAAGGAGGTTAAGTTAATTTCGGCGCTTGGAAAAACTGTTCTGCTCTCAATTCTCTTTTCCTGGGACTCCTAATACAAATATCTTCCGTATACCTTTATATCACTCGGCCAAGTAAACAGTTCACATGGGAGAACTAGTCCATAGAGGACCATAATTCTACACGTTCAAGTACACCTTTTTTAAAAAAAGTGTATCTTAGTCTCCCTTTTATGTTTCAAACTCTTTTGAAAACGGAGCATATTGGCATGTTTATGATAAGTAAATGCGAAATCAAAATGGAAAATATACGTATTTTTAAAGTAAAATCATTCAATGCGTTATTTAATATGACAATAAAATGCGTGGTCATACATGTTAAATACGTGCTTACCAATTTTTAATTAGCATAAAAATATTCGTGAAACGAGAACTAAAACCTGAAAGGACTCTTGTAAAGTTTGAAAATATAGTTTATTCATTCAAATAATTGCTTTCCTTGAATTAAAAAGTCATTTGAGACATTTTACTGAAAAATATAACTTGTACACTTCCCTTCATAAGTTTTGCAACCTTTTTTCCCCATAGGCGTTCGTGTCAAATTCTCTCACTATTTGAATTTTTATGTTCATAACGTGCAAACAAATAAGTAATCTTGCTGGAAGAAATGTAACTTAACTTTATTTCTACCCTTTGCAGTCTTTCGACTTCGCTTCTTAACAGAGAGAATTCGTCTTCAGTTTTTAGGATATATATTATACTTTATAGTTTATAGCAAGAACGGCATTGTTTTTAGCTCTTGATTATAGCTAGACTCTGCGCGCAGGGTGCTTTATTTCCTGTACCTCCAAATTTGATAATTTTTTGCTCAATTACGAATTATAGGAAGAAAATTGATGTAAACTTTGATGAATATTTGAAAATCGACATTTCCATGTAAACCAATGGGAAATGGAAGATTAGCCGCAAGTCATATGATAAAATCCATACATCCGGGTTACAATTGGATTTGTTCACTTTATCTAACACAAAATCGACGTAGCGTGTTTCTTTTGGTTTAAAAAGTTATAGGCCTCGAAAGTCAAAATAATAATTTTCAAGAAACCTCTCCCAATAAGATAACAGAGGTGAGATTTCCGTAACTTTATGTTCACAAAGTAAACTAAACTCTTAGCATGCAAAAAGTTAGACAATTTAATTTTCTATATAAGAGTATTATTTGGTAAAGACTGGAAAGATGTGATTATATTTCAATGGAATCCAAGGATCTAAATATGATGTTTTTATCACCAAAGAAAAATGATGACATTTTGTTAGAACCCATCATGATGAACCATGACATCTCATTTTTTCTCAGCCCTGAGATGCCATGATATAATGAGCTTGATTTTGGGTGTTGTTTCAGGTGAAACAGAAAGATGCTATGAGTATCACAATGGTTAGAACCCAATTTTGTTGAATTGTTGAATTATGATCCTAAAATTATTGTTCATGTTAAAAGATTAATTTGAAATTATATGTTATTCAGGCCTGTAGCCAACTTTTGCCAAAGGGGCACTTTTCAAAAAGTTCCAAGGGGTTTACATTTCACAAAGACCCAAAATCACTCTAAGTGCTCAGAATAGAGAAACCGCAAGATTTTGAAATACTTTTTGCCCCACCCCTCAAAGAAACAAACCTGGTTACGGGCCTGATATTAAATGTTGCTATCCCCTCCCCCCAGCATGGTAAAGACAACAAAAAATATATTTTGTGATAAATAGATACTATTTTATTGTGCATATTCAGATCATATCAAATACATTTTTAACATAAACCACATTCTATTTTTATTCCATTCAAATGTTTTTATTACTTTTCACTGCTCCAAAGATATATTTCTCCAGACTAAAAATTATTGTTTTCTAGGAGAAAATTACATTTGAATTTTGGCTATATTCTGGATGCTTAAACAGCTGTTAAAGACCTTTCCAGTAAATCCTGCCCTATTTTACTCAGAAATGCAAAAATTCCATGTTTTTTATATGCAAAACTAAACTGTCAACATGGCGAGATTTACTGGAATGACCTATATATGTACTCAGAATAAAACAGTATATGTACTAACTCATTGCACTGTTCACTCTCTGTGTCACTCCCCACCATTAGTTTGATAACAAGAAGTCTTCATTTGAGTGTTAAAACCTATGTTTAGATCTTTATTTCATTCCTTTATTACAATAGGTTGATTATTTTTAAATCTCCAAACATGAACAGGCTTTTACATTCAATCCAAAAGGTATGTTTGGGAAGAATTTCCTAAAACATATTGAACTGATCTTTGAAGCAACTTCTAGGAATCATAAATTGTGAAAATCAGCACCAAGCATTTCTACTAAAATAAAGTGAGCATCAAAATTTCCATTGGTCTAGGTCATTGAAAAGGTCAAGTTCATTGCACATCAGGAAACGTTGTCATGCTCAAGGTCAATGCCTCGAGGTCATGGTTGGTCAATTGTCCAGAAATTGCACTATCTTCAAACACAAAAGCAGACTAAGGCCAAGTATAATTAAACTATGTTTAGCACATATTTTACAGAACATATCCAGATCATCAAAATTTATCTAATATATACATGTACATCCAATCAAATTTTTTTTGTTGAAAATAACTTTATTTTCATTTTTGGATTTCAAGATGTTGATATACTAGTAATAGATATATATGTGCTAAACATTGAACTTAATTATCCTTGCCTATTCCTAGACATGGCTAATTTACAGGAATTGCACTAAGCTGAGAGACAGGCCACACCTTCCACCTCAAACAACACCATAGCACCACCACATCTAATCAAACAAAAGGTCCCTAGTGTGTATAAAAATATGGACAGTGAACTCTACTTATCATTGAAATAAGAAACAATTTATCACATATACCTGGTAAGTACATAATTGTTAAGTAAGTTTTCAAGGTATTGTGGTTTTGTAAATATATAAATGCTCTTATTTAAGACTACATATTTTCACCATTAGTTGTGTCAGGGTGTGACATGCACTGCAAAACTTGGCCTATATATATGGTCAGGATAACATGTACATTGAATCAATTCCTCTCTTTATTGAATGTAAATGTATTTACCATTGAACACTTAGTTGTTCTCTTGTCATCCTGACTGATCTACATGTACCTTAGCAAGGTTTGACCCATTGTGCATTTTATGTTTCCAAGTCAGTGGGATATACATTATTACATATCATATCCAGCCCACTGCTAAGATATGCCACACACATATTAACACTCTCCATTTGTTGTTTGGCAAATATCAATTCATATTTCTTCTCAAAATATACTATAAACAGGGTTGATCAAAAAAGAACTGCTCTTTTACATCTAGGTCACTGCTAGGATTATGAAGCCTAAATATAAAAGTGAACTACTTTTGTGGACCACCCTTTACATTATTTATATAATACAACATAAAATATTTCCCATTGTGGGCTAAAAGTAAAACAAAAACGTTGACAGAAGTGTAATGTGTAAAGGTGTTATGCTATCTCATTATAAGACTATTTCAAATTGTGGTCTAATGTGTAAACCTTTATAAGTGTGAACCAATATACTAATAATAAGGTACATATACAGACAGGGGCGTAGCCAGCAATTGTCAAGCGGGTGCGAAGTTAGCCCCAAAAGGGGGATACGGGGGTTCACCCTCAGAATTTTTTAAAAATCTACATGCATTTGATGCATTCTATGCATTTAAAACTATAATTTGTTAATGTTTTTCATCCAGCGCACCCCCATGGCTATGCCCATGACAGCAATGTACCGATATTTCTATGAATCAAAATTAGATTCATTTATGGCATTATAATATCATCTCATAGTTGGTACAAGGGGTCTTTCAAAGGTCCCCGATCTCAATGGACCCCTTAAAAGGTTAAACATCTTGATTGTAAAATACAGATTTATGGCCATACACATACTGGAAGAACTGTATTTTGAGACTATATTAATACAAGATGAATATGCTGCCCTTGAATAAAACTGAAAACTCAATAGATGACCTGAATTATTAATAAAAATAGAGAAATCAAAGTTAAATACTGACTTTAAAATATCAATAAGTTTTACAATACAATATAAAACCTTTCTCTAAATTAAAGCGTTTCTCAATGTTTTCCAGCAATTTTATGAGGGTGCAGCTTCTTTTTGTAACTTCTATGAAGGTCAACTTCATCTTTGAAGGCGAGAAGGCCTAACTGAGAATGTGAAGCTTCGTTAAGGGCCTTGGAGCGTATACATGATCTATACTGGTCAGTAGAAAGTGTTGGGTCACAGACCTTTTCATGCCACAGATGAAAAATACTTGGATCTGTAGCACGAACAACAATATAATCACTTTTGACATATTTGCGATATAATAAAACATCTTCCCCACCCCAACCATCGATTTTCTCATCGAAACCTTTGATGTTGATGAAATCTGAGCGATATTGGCAGGTCATTCCAAAACCAAAGTCCCTCCAGAATCCGGAGTCTTTGCTAATGACAAGTTGGTCTCTCTCTGAGGGCAAAGGCATGTCATGCAGGGAGTATACCACCCTGGGGCTGTATAGACTGAAGACCATGGGATAGTATACCTTCTTGCCCCGCTCCGAGTTCAGTCTACACCTCTCAAGGAAGTCCACGGAGAACACAATGTCTACATCACACAGGAACATTAACACATCACCTTTGGTCCAACTTTTCGCACCCACTTGGAGGCCGCGACCTCTGGAAAACTTTTCATTTAACGTCACTAATTTTATATTTTTGAATTTATGAGCTTTTGAGACTTGACCCAGCAATGACTTAACGTAATTGAGATCCTCGGTTCCAAAATAGACTACAGTAAGGAAGACACGCTTGTCAGATTTGATACAAATCTTAACAAAATAGTCCATGAAATGTTTAAATGTTTCTTTACGGCCTGAGAGAGGTAGTATAAGGTTGATGAGCTCTTTAGTTGTAGTCCTCACAGATTTCTCTACCAAATGTAGAGGACCAAATGGCCGGCTTAGAATCACTTTATGATACATATTTGGAGTGAATGATTTATTCATTGTATCTTTAAAATACATTTCATATGTGGTCCCAGCATTAGGAATGGTCCTGTATATACCCTCCACAAAATCACGATCACCTTTAAGTTTTAGGTTTTCAGCATACACTTGTTTATTGAGCAAATTCACTGCTTTTTCTATGGCCTCATGTAACTCCTTTTTCTTATACCCTATTGGTTTTTCTACCACACGCTTCCCCAAACCAGAATCAACCAGATAAATCCGGTTGTATGTGAAGCGAATAAATGGCACTAATTCATATTCAGTTTTTAGTTTCACACCGTGGAATATTTCAGCTTCATTTATCCGAGCTTCGAAATATTTCTCGGCATCAAATGCATGTTTCTCACTTGAGGTGAAATCTTTGGCTTGGTTTTTAGTGAAGTTTATAGTCAATGCTTGTGTTTTCTCCAGTTGGAGCTCGAGCTCAGCTATCTTTGCCTTCAGCGCCTCAGTGTATTTTAGATGGTCAGCATCTTTCACCTGAATGAAGATGTTAAATGTAAAGCATAAATCAAATAACACTGACTATTGCAAAGAGTGAATACCAAAACTAATGAAACTGAAATATCCTGTCATTCATTGTTATATTTTGATTATAGAGCAAACTGAATTGATACCATTATAAATTTCGATTGTATTCATCATTTTAACCAAGTTAATTTCAGTAGCTTGAGATTAAATGTCAAACTATTCAGAATTACTCAACTCCATTCATGTTTACAATTAGTTTGTTGAATTTTAATCAATATGGTAAATGCTGACTAAATCCTCTTACCATGGTCATATCCCTCTTAGTTACCACCCTTGGGCACTACCCCCAAGTCACTACCTCCCAAGCCACTCCCCTTGGACCACCACACCCAAAATTACTATTTCCAGAGTAACATCTCCCTAAATCATCACCCCCACCTACCTGTATGATTCTCTCATACTCCTCCTGGATTTCCTGAGTTTCTCTAGCTGTTTGGATGTTTCGTTCATGGTAAGATGGCATCCCTTGTAGCTTTTCTATAATTATGAATATGATATTAATCATAAAAGATGAGTAAGGAATTTTTTTATTATCAGACATGGGGAAAAGATAGCAGCGCATCTTAAACATACAGTTATGATATCAGTTGAAGAGAATATTGTAAAAATCATATGGAAATAAGTTGGAGTGTGATTTATAGAGGGCAGTCTGAATACTTTATAATCGACTATATTTCAATTTCTGATTGAATATCAATGAGAGTACTCATCTATTTTGAAGTCAAAATCACTCTAAAAAATGAAATAATATTTTTAATATATCATGACCAATTAAGGGGCTGAATCAAAATATCAATGTGTCATTTTTGCAGAACTAATTACATAGGGGTGAGAATGGGTACAGAAATGTTGTGGAAAGAATATTGAACGATTAGTTGTTAATGAAATGAAGCACTATTGACCCATTGATATTTTTAACCAGCTCCACCTTTCCAGATAAACTTACCCTCCTCAGAGAAGCTGTCAAGAGTACTGATCCCACATCGGGACACTAACACCATTGTAAGGAAAGATACAGAGAACAGAAGGAGTAGCAGCCGCAGAATACTAACTCGCATTGTCACTTTAGGATACATCAGTCATATCACATTGTCATCTTAGGATACATCAGTCGTACCACATTGTCACCTTTGTATCATCAGTCATATCACACTGTCACCTTTGTATCATCAGTCATATCACACTGTCACCTTTGGATACATCAGTCATATCACATTGTGATATTTGGATACATCAGTCATATGACATTGCCACTTTTGGATACATTTGTCACATACTATTATCATCTTTAAATATCCATCATATCAGTTATCACATTAATAATGTCTCTATATTTATTGAGGTTCATAGCCATAATTCATACGTCATCATATTCACTGTCATAGAACTGCCACTGTCTGTAGATCCTGCTATAACATTGAACGCTGAATCAAATATTTTAGATACCTCCAGATTTTGGCAGGAGCTTGTTCCCTTTTATATCCCTGTCATTATTGTAGCATGTAGTGTTATTGTAACATGTATTGTTATTGTAGCATGTAGTGTTATTGTAGCATTGTATCATGTCGTGTTCGCAACATCATTACTCAAAGTGAATATTGCTGTTACTTGTTCATCAGCTACCTGAAAGCATAAATCAACAAAAGATTAATTAAATAACTTTTTGTACAAACAAAAATATATCATTCACCTATCAGTTGTTACAAGGAATGTGACTACACTGCTGTAAATTCAATAATATTTATCATGTGTGATTGTACTATATTCCTTTTTTAATTAAATACATCCATCATTCTTCTGTCAATTATAACAAGGTATTAACATGTAAATGTCACCACATGTCATATTTACAGATGCCAACTACAGAACACCAACTGCCAAGTACCAAACAACCACTGAAACCAACTGCCGAACACCAACTGCCAAGTACCAAACAACAACAACTGCCAAACACCAACCACGAATCATCCACAAAAAAGTTGGAGAAAGTTGTGATGGTGATATAATTAAACAGTACCATGGATACTGAGCACACAAGAGCAAACAGTAGGTCTGCTCAACTGAGCAGAAACATTACTTAACAGTGCATTATGGTTTTATAATGAACTGAGCAGTCCCACTATTGGTAAAAGAGTAATGTCATCACAGTGCAATGGTTTCATTAAGAAATGGACAACGTTATTTTTTATAGAGGAGTGATAATATATTAGCATTGCAATAAAAAACAAAACAATGTATCATTCTTTATTAGAATTAAAAGCATTCATGAATCTACTAATCCCTGATGTATTATGTGTATGAGTTAGTACATGCACTCATGCTTTTAAATTTCAAAGAATGATATAGGATTCTTTATTCATTCAATATTATGACCCTCAAGGCTTACCTTCCCCTCTCAACTGTGTTTTTCCTGACATCTAATTACAACCCTTTTTCCCATATACCTTTATACTCTAACAGGCAAGTAAATACAATGAAAGGAAAACTAGTCCAGAGGTCCTACACATTTCTATTACAAGTTCTAAACAAGGCATTAACATGCAAAATGTCACCACCTGCCATTTGTTACAGATGCTGAATACCAACCACCGAACACCAAGTGCAGAATGCTGAACCCCAACCACCACCCGTCATAAAAAGTTGGAGATCATAACAATGTATCACCACTTCCTGTGGTGACATCAAAATGTAAAGCTTAAACTCCTAAATGTAGCATATTTTTATCGAATCATACTCCTAGTTTAGTTGTATAATGGTCTCATAAGCATGGGTTGGCATCGAAAGATTTGTCAGCTGTGGGGAGTAGGCTATTTTTCATACAAACACTAAGAAAACTTCACATATTATTTTTTAACTCACATGTTTCATCATACCAAAGAAAAGTACCTAATCACTACAATAGGTATATCATTTACAGGTAACCTTTAATTCTATTTGAAGTCCAAAAACTTGAAAAATTTATCAGTTTGCTCAGTCTAGGCATGATGTAGGACAAGATGATGTACAAGATGTAGGACAATCTAGTCATAAACCAGTTCATTAAGAAGTAAACATCTAAATAGATTTATAATACTCTGAAGTTCATTTACCCTAATGGTTATAACCTACTAGATATTTTGAAGGCCATGAAAACAAAATAAACAGTGATAAGGAACACATAACATCACTGTTAAAGAAACATGGCTGAGATATGTCTCAAGGATACACATTTATGCCTTGGTCACATATGCTCCGATCCATCGGCGGCGCCCGGCGGATTGAGTGTTTTGTTCAAATTTCTATTCAATTTTGAACAAAATACTCAATCTGCCAGGCGCCATAGTGAAAATCGGAGCAAATGTGACCAAGGCATTAGGAATGATGAACATCAAAAACAAAATACACCTAAAAAGCCACATTATCCTGTGATCCAATGATCTTGTGATCTTTAGATTATTTTATGATCCTATGATCTTGTGATCTGATATTGTTATCCATTGTTAATTATGATCCCATGATCTAATATTGATTAGCAGCCACCTTGAAACAATCATACATGAAAACTTGCTATTTTAAGAAGTGTTTCTCTACATCAGTACAAATACATTTGCTAAATGTTGTTTTAATATGTGTTTTTGTTTCGTCTATTTTTTGTCACAGAAGTATTGTCTATGGAGAACTAGATCATGGGTAATATGATAATATGATAATATTTTCCCTTTGTTTTAATTTTCCAAAACTAAATCAACATTTCAATTGACATTATGATAGTTCATCTCAATTAAAATCACTGTTTCGTATCAAAACACACAGCTTGTTTATTTCAACATATTGAAGTCAAACAGATCATTTGAAAAATTAATCTGCAATAATATCCAGGTGATCGTTAAATTGTCCCTTTGTGTATGTTGCGCATGTTATCAATAAAAAATCACAATTTCGCAATATAGTTTTACAGGAAAATTCAAAATGCATATATATAAAAAAAAAAACCAGAAATACCTTGATGCTGATGCGATCCATGTGATTCCGACCTCATTCCTAAGATCATTATTAACAATCAAAATCATGATATAATACATGAAATAAATGATTAAAATACCTCGAACAGTTATATATCTTTGTCTACCTCTACTTTGTTGAACATATCAAGTAAATGATCCTTGTCTCAACCTAGATACTTCTTATTCACATACATACAAGTTATTCAACTCCTTGTAGGTCTCAGCCAGTTCAACTCAGGAAAAAAAGCCAAAATAATCAAAACCAGAATTTCTTGAAATCCCGCCTTACACACCCCCATTATGTTTAATATTCCCTCACAGAAAACAGTCAGACATTGAAAATTTGAATAATATACACAACTGATATCAACCTTTATTTTTTTTTAATATATCATTCCCATCTTTTTTTACTACCATCAATAATCATTTTATTTTAAAATAATCTTTAATAAAAAAAAATCAATCAAAAGTTTTATTTCATAGATTAAGATATTCAATGTAAATATTATATTATTAGGGCAAATTCTTTCATCATTAATTGTCCCATTGAAAATTATAAATTCAAACATAACATATAGCATAAAATATACAACAATAACGAAATTCTTTTAATATTTGCAAAAATCTCCTGAATCCCGTTTAATGTTAAATAAAGGCTTTCCGATTGTTAACCCTGACTTATCTGCTGATCATCTGGCCATACAGCAATGCCTACAACCTCCACCTGCCAGACGACATGTTATACCAGACAGCACCAAAACATCAAGTCCACTCTCATTTCCCACAGTCTTTTTTCAGATGCTTTTCTGAGACACTTGTAAGAGCCTAATTTAGCAGTTAGCCTCTTTTGGAATTACCGGCCTTGTTTTTTGAAAAAGAGCCCCAAATGTTTTAATAGAGGCCAATCATTTTCAGAAATAGTGGTTGGGATTTTTGAAAGTAATTTATGGCATTCTTGTTAATTTCACAGTCCTATATACATGTATAGTCATAAGGGACCTTATTCAGTTTAAAATATTATCACATCTAGTGCATATAGGGTTCACTGCACTAAAGTCTTTCCAGTGACTGTTTCCCTGTCTGTCTTCATGTTTCTAGGTTTTGAGCATTTAAAACAAAATATCTCATTGCCAAAACATGTTTCACATATATTTTCACTCTGAATTTCTTTTGATCTTAATATTGTACTGCAAAGCTTTTTTACATATTTTAGACCGCCACATTTTCTTCAATACCAACATTGTACCATCTTATGTCAAATCGGCAGGCCTGTAGCCAGGATTTGCCAAGGGGGGTTCACTTTTTGAAAACTTGGTCAAAATCACTTAAAAAGTGCTCAGAATGGTGAAAAAATAGCATGATTTTGAAAAAAATTTGGTCGGGGGGGGGGGTTTCGCTCGAACCCATCGAACTCCCCCCCCTGGCTATGGGCCTGAATCATCTCATTTCTTCTTAGTCATGTTGCCAGTGAAAAAGAAAGATGTGATGAGTATCACAATAATAAGATACAATAAAGAAGTCAATTGGAAATTGCAACGTGCTAGACACAATAACAATATGGAAAAGCTTGGAGTGAAACCAACTGAAAATGATCTCCTTTACATTATGACATGATGTGACATGAAATGACACACGTCTGGAAAATAGCTGAGGAAATATAAACTCAGACAAAACATCTTGTTTTACAGAATTGTGAGGAAGCATAAACACCCAACATGCAATGCTGATCATATAACAAAACGTATTACAGCATTATATATTCATAGAATTTTATGTGATGTACAATAGCTGGTTCCGAGGCAAAAATTTGTACTTATACATATTTATAAATTATAAGGGCATTTTGGCTTTGGTACGTAATAATTGTCTTGTCTATCAGCACAAAATATACAACATACATCCCTTGAAGGTCTCAGGGAGGGGGGGGGGTTCTCTTGCTTCAAGTCTTCTTCTGTTACTATGCAAAACAATTAAGAAACAATTCAAAACAATTACAAAAAATGTAAAACCATAACAAAGCAATCAAAGCTACCACAAAGTCAAGCATGGTTATTCCCCATAGCTCTTGCAGACATAAATCTGTCAGGTAGTTTATGCTGCTGGGTATATGTGGTCAGGGGAACCTGTCTTCCCACATCTCTCTGGAAAGCATCTTGACATTGTGGGTACATTAACTTCTCTGATG